AGCTCACCCCGTCGCGGGGATTTGAACCGCCAACCTTCTGATCGGCAAGCCCTAGGCTCTGTGGTTTAACCCACAGCACCACCTGCATCCCTAACAAACCTATCATAAAACCAGCTAAAAATAACTATAAAAACGGTACAAAAAGATAGCTTTCAGAAATAAAACAAAATCAAACACCTAGGGCAGAGGCTTTTGGGATCCAGCTGGAAAAGATTGCCAAAATTAAAAGATGTATTCAAGTGACCCTACTTGGACGTATAAGGTATAAAGCAGCCTCTTAAGTAACCTGCCTCTGAACTCTGTATGGTTCTTCCTTTGTTTTTAAATTGCTTTTATTAATGATTTTCTTGGGCAACAAAAGTACACACACCCTCTCTGCTTTCCGTTCATAGACACTTTGCACTTCTCTGCCTTTGCCTCTTGCTTTCCACCCTCCCTTTTTATATTTTAAAATCCTGACACCCCCCTTCTGCCATCTAGCCATCCAAGGATGACTTCTCAGGAAATGGCTCTTGACTGTGAAAGTTTCTGCAACAATAAATTGGTTAGCTCTTACCTGCCAAAGAGCTGTTCCTATGTCTGCCTTTCTGTAACCAGTTCAAAAGTGAACAAATACTGCCATCTTCTGTGCACAAGAAGGAAACAACTGAGAACTGGAGAAGAGCAGAGGGAGAGCAACTGACTACTCACACCAATCAGTTGATGTCTCTCTTCTGACTGCATCACTCCTTATTCCAAGGTTGCAGAGCCTGTAGCAGCAGCTTTATATCAAAGCAAGAGGGGTCTGTATCCTCGGAGGACTTGCAATCCCAAAATAAGGTTGCACATTCCAAACTTTGGATAAATGGTCGAGCAAAGGGCAGCTTTGCTCGATGGTTTGACCTTTGTGGATTGTAGGACAAGATCTTCCTTGCTCATGGAGCTATTGGGATTACAGTTTGTGTGTGCATGTTCAATCAGGATGCATTCCTGCTTCAAGTACTAGCTGGAAACCAGTGATGTAGCATGGGTTGCCATTGACCAGGGCAATACAAGTACCGAAGAAATGAACCTATGCTGCCAATTCTCGTAGTAGACCAGTATAAAATAAGCAGCACATAAGTGGCACACAAAACACTACCAAACCATTCTATGTTCTAAATCTTACATTAATAATCCAAAAATTGAGAGAGCTATGTACAGAAGCAAGAAACAGAAAACTCATTCAAAATGTGTCCAGGAGCCTGGCTAAAGGAACTTTAAAGACTGAAACTTCCTTTTGGACACAATTTGAATGAGTTTTCTGATTGTTTTCTGTTTGTGGCTTCTGTAGTAGATCTTATACATAGCTCTCTCAATTTTTGGATTATAAATATAAGATTTAGAACATAGAATGGTTTGGTAGTGTTTTGTGTGCCACTTATGTGCTGCTTACTTTATACTGGTCATTGACCCGGGCAAGGCAAGTATTACACCCCCTAACCCGTGGTTCCGATTAGGGCTTGATTGTTTTTTGTTTTTTTACAGTTTTCTTTTGAAATTTTGCTCTCCCCCCAAATTCTGCACCCAGAGCAACAGCTCCTCTGGCCCCCCGTCACACTACGCTGCTGCTTGAATCTCACCCTGGGGGGAGAGCAAAAAATAATGTGATGCGATAGATCTTGCATGCCTTGAGATCTCAAGGCGATCAAACACCAGCCCAAAGCTTGTATTGTTTTAAAATCAGGGTGCCCTGGACTGGCTGGATGACGAGGAGTGGTAGGAGGTACCAGTTGGGGAACCCCCAAGGGAAACCCCAGAGGAAGAAGGTTCAGAGCCAGGGGGTTGGTGGTGGGACACCGAGGAGAGATTGGAGAGAGAAGATTGGGGAGAAGGAAGTGTTGGATGCGGAAGGGCAACAGGGTTTAGTGAGCAGGGAGAGCTAGTGACGGGGAGCAGCTTAGACTCCGAGGCTGAAGCAGAAGGGGGGACGGGGACGTCAAGAAGCTGCAGAAGAATCCAGGGAGTCTCCTCCTGCTGTGACAATCTCCCCTCCCTCCTGGTCTCCAAGAATGTGCAGAATAATGAAGAGGAAAGAACAGAAGTGCGCAGATGCAGTTTGAAACTGGGAAACATCTGGAAGAGGAGGAGCCTTAGAGAAGGTGGAAGCCAGGGACCTTTAGTCCTGGCAACTGCTCCACAGGAGCAAGACCTTCTGGGAAGTGTTACTGGGCTGTAGCTCTTTTCCTTGAATAAAGAGTTAGCTTCACTGACAATGGAGCCCTGCATCTTTTGTGCTGACGTGCATCTGACTCCAGCCCTGACCCAGGGGTAGAGAACCTGTGGCCCTTCAGAAGTTGCTGAAATACAACTCCCATGACCCACGGTTTGCCCACCCTTGGTAAAAGGTAAAGGTAAAAGACCCCTGGACGGTTAAGTCCAGTCAAAGGCAACTATGAGGTTGAAGTGCTCATCTCGCTTTCAGGCCGAGGAAGCCGGTGTTTGTCCACAGACAGCTTTCCCGGTCATGTGGCCAGCAGGACTTAACCACTTTTGGTGCAACAGAACACCATGAAGGAAGTCAGAGTGCATTGAAATGCCGTTTATCTTCCCACCACAGCGGTACCTATTTATCTACTTGCACTGGTGTGATTTCAAACTGCTAGGTTGGCAGAAGCTGGAAAAGAGCAATGGGAGTTCATTGTGGGGATTCGAACCGCCGACCTTCTGATTGGCAAGCCCAAGAGGCTCAGTGGTTTAAATCACAGAGTCACCCACGTCTTAGTCTATGTCGTCCAGTGTGCTCTTTCCAACCAGATGCCCATGAGAAGTCCACAAATAGGAACTGAACATCCTTCCCACATTGTCTGTCTGACAGCAATGGGGATCAGAGGGATATCACTTCTGAACCCGGATTGTCCCGCCACCCCATGACTTTGGAGTTTTGCATTTCTGTTGCGAAGGTCGACCGCTTCCCAATTGATGCGATCCTCCTTTTCAGTTTCTAAATCAGTGTGACTCACCCCCACACCAAGCTTTCAGGGCAGGTTGGGATGGAAACAAAGAGAAAGATGTCCTGAGCCACTGCTAGTGAGACTAAATCGCTTACATAACTCCCAGCTTAAAACACCCCAAAATTAATTTGCTGCATTAAATACAGTGGCATTGATGGAACATCGGTATCGGAGATGAAACATGTGAGATTTTCCCCATCACGATTCCTGCAGCAGCAAAGGAGGAGCTGGGCTTTTAGTATTCCGCTCGAGGGATGCTCTCGGTTAATTTAACACCGTCCAAATGACTTTGTTGGGTCCATCTCATTCCGTGCTAATGATCTTTAGCTCGTTGTTAATATTAGTCATGACAGCTGCAGATCTATGGCTCCCTTCCTGTCATGGCAGCAGCAAATGCAAGTGCAGGATGGTGATTTTCACAAAGCAGCAAAACAGCCACTGTGGCTTATTGGTTAGACTGTTGGACTGGGACCTGGGAGACCAGGGTTCGAATCCCTGCTCAGTTCTGAAGCTCACTGTATGACCTTGGGCCAGGCACTCGGTCTCAGCCCAGCCTACCTCGCAAGGGTGTTGTGAGGATGACGGGTAGATGCAGTCATAATCCATGCATCTGTCCTGTTCTTCAATAGGATCCTTGTGAGCAATGGCATTACTTTAATGGCAGGAGCATTGAGGTCTCCTCACAATGACCTATTTATGGAGCACTCCTCCTCATTTGATTGCACAAAGCGTAGTGTATATCCGGTCTTTATTGAACAATTCATTCTGATTTGTTTATGGGAAAATTGTATGAAAATGAGTCTTCCATTTGTCCTGATATGCTCACACAAAGCTTATGAGGTGGTTGGTTAATAATAACCAGCCTTTATTGAACAATTTGTTCTGATTTGCTTGCAGAGCAGTTATATGACAATGAGCAGTTATCCCGCATTCATCCTGTTCGGCTGGCAGGGTGTTTATACGTCTTCGCATTAGTTGTTTATTCGCCCCACACTTTTCAACACATTTCCCTTCCCCTTTCCAAACTGCAATTTCTTTTTTCTTTCTTCTTTAAAAAGTGTATTGGTTGTATCAGGGCAGAGCTCGACTGCACTTTAACTGCACAAACCCCAAGCTCTGATACTACACACTTGAATCCCTCCCACGAAATAGCCACCCATAAATTCTCCAGGGAATTAGAGTGCGTTGAGAATACAACAGCCCAACTGCTCCCCCCACTCCTACTTTGACAGCCCTGGGTCACCCTGTGTGGGTCCAACTCGGGGTGATTGAGGGATTGGTCAGAATCAGCCTAATTTAGTTCTGAATCCAGCATTTCTGTGGACCAGATTTCAGAGCCCTCTGCACAACCTCTGGCAGTGGATAAAGAACATATATCTCAACTTCTCCAGGGCACAGAGGCGACTTCCCAGCTGCCCTAAGTCTGTAGTGAAGCAACAGAGCAGATGGACGAGCTAAACAGCAGTACCGGGAGGCCATGATGGACCTGCTGTCAGGACCTGGAACCGAGGCCTTGGGGGAGGAAAAGCAAGGAGAGCAGGACCCTCCACAGTGGTGGCTGGTGCCCATTGCAACTGGTGGGGTGGAAGGCAGGGATGTTAGGATTCTTGCTCCGTGCTTGCAGTCATGGGATTGCCGTTTATCACATGACGCTGTATGTTTTCATTCCACATAGTGGGAAGTGACGGAGACAGGATGTTTTTATCACTGTGTTCCGTGATGTGGGACTATTGTCCTTTGTTCTTTCTCTCTTTGCTGTCTGATGAGAAAGAGGAAGGAGCTAAGAATGCTCCGAGTGTATTATATGTAAATAAAAGTAGCTTAGCCAAATGGCCCTGCCGCTTGCAATCTGATGGAACTGTCCAGAGCTGCAAAGAGCGATTGTGCCCCGTAATGAAATGTCATCAGCATTCTGATAACTCTTTGGGCTTCCCTTGATATTTCTGAAGCTGTCTTGTATGAAGAGTTTGCTTTGCATTTCAAGGGCAACTCAATAGGCTCTTCTGGGAACTGATAAATAAAGGGGAACACGGCACGTCTTAAACAATGCACTTTTTTTTTTCTTTTTTAGGCAGAGTTGTGCGTGTATTTGGTACAAATAAACAAAATAATAATAATGTGCATTCTGGTTTTGCAAAGGTATACATAAATCAATCCAGCAGAGTTTGCATCAAATGACAGGAAGGAAAAACCCACTCTGGCTAATAAATACACTTGCAGATTGTTAAAAGGGAGAGAGAAAAGAGGAACGAGACATGAAATATCCAAAGATTCATTAAAGGAAATGTACACCTATGTACACATCTGTAAACAATAAAATAGAAAGATTATAAAACATCAGTCCAGCATTACAGTGGATGAAGCTTTCTTCCTTTCTTTCGTAGCATTGGTGAGATTTTGCTGATGTATGGAATTCAATCAACTGTGCTGAGCAGACGAGGGAAATCTGGGGATCAGATAGATCTGACATACACAATCCATATGCTACATCCATTGTCCAACATAGGGCTCTGCATTTGGTCGTTGCTGCTGCTGCTGTTTTCCTTCCCGCTGCAGAAGAGGCAAGTCTTCTGAATAATGAAACAGAGGCTTGCCTCTTCAGCGGTGGGAATTTTCTGCAGCAAAAGGACCAAGAGCAACGCTGGTCGTGTGCATAGCTCTGTCCTACATCTGCATGACCCTTCTTCGGATCACTCACTGAGTATGCATTCACGGATTCATGTGCTTATGCATCTATCCCTGGAATCATGGGCTGATTCTTTTTATTGTTAAACTGTTGAAGTGGACTAGAGTGGATTTTCTCAGAAAGTCTGGGCATGTGATCCCTTCAACACCCTGCCAGACTGAGGTTCGCTACAGCCACTTTGCAATATTATTATTTTTTCTGGATGCAGGCCAATGTGATCTGGATACTTCATTTTCTTTTTTTGAGTATTCACAAGCTTGGCTTAACACACTAGCATTTCACGAGAAGTTGACCTGACACGTAAATTACAAGCAAGCAGAAACAGTTCTATTTATTAGTCCTAACCTGGGCGCTGACTCTTGTGATCTCCCATTCGTAGGTAATCAGTGTGATCCTGTTGAGACCGTAATGACTGCATATATGTTTGGTCACTCGAGGCAACGGAAATGTTTGGTTGCTGACGCAATCCAAGGGTGGGGTTGAGGAGTTGGAAGGGACCACAAAGGCCATCTATTCCAGCCCCCTGCGATGCAGAAATCTTTCTCGCTCAATGTGGGGGATCTTTAGGGAAACCTGGTTCTGAACCTCCAAAACATCTGGACACATGCAGATACTTTGCTCCTACTTTCCGTGGGAAGGAGTGCCGGCTAGTGATGAATCTTCTCGTATAAGAGACTGCAGAGCAACTAGCAAGAGAGCATTTTCACAGACTCCACAGCATCAGAATCCACCTTGAGGCCATCCAACCTGACCTCAAGATGTGGGTATACTATTTCTGACCAATAGCCAGCCTGCCAAAACACCTCCAGTAAAGGAGAGCCCCCACACCCCAAGGATGTCTCCCAAAGTTTAATCAAAATCTGCTCGCTTGCCATTTCTAACAGTTGGCTCCTATCTTGCACTCTGGGGCAAGAGAGATGCCCAACAGCATATCAGCATATCTGCATGGCAGCCCTTCAGATGTTTGGAGACTGTTATTCTGCTTCCCCTTCCCCACCTTCCCCATCCTCCCCATCCCCAAGCTAAACGTTCCCAGCTCTTTCTACTGGACCTTGTAGGACTTTATTTACCATCCTGGCTCTCCTCCTCTGGACGTGCAGTGGCATGGAATAGAGAATTAGAATGTGTTACACAAGCTAAACAATGGAAAATTGCTTTAGGATCTATGAGGAATGTTTCCTTCGATCCAAAATTGAGACTGTGCCAGCAAAAATGGATGTTTGGGGTGTATTGGGCTCCACAATGTCTTTATAAGAAGTATTGTCTGATACAGAATGATGCTGGAGTTGCGATGTGGAAAATGCCACCAGATATACTCCTTTTGGGTCTGAAGTTGCTGTCCGTATCAATTTTGTACTGGCAGAACCTTTGATATTTGCAGATGTTTGTGTACTTTTCAATCATATTCCTGTAGTATGTATCAGGACAACTAAAGTGGATTTTCTGAGCTGCTATGGTCACTAAAAGACCTTAACTTTGTGCCTGAAAGAATAAATACCCACCATCTACTAAGCAACAGTCTGAGGACCTCACCACACCCTGGCTAAATTGGAAAACATATTTTCTATGAACTCCAGTCTTGGGTGGATACCAATTTGGGCCTCTGGAGGGCTTACATCAACTTGTATGCATGCTTATTTTCAATTGGATTTTAATTGCATTTTTAATATGAGCTGACCAGGTTTTATATCTTTATGTTTATTTTGTTTTATTTCCCTTTCGTCGTCGGGGGTTGGACTAGATGATCCGTTGGGTCCTTTCCAACGCTACAATTCTGCACCTAGGATTGGACACAGTTCTCCAGATACAAGCTGACCATCTCTCTTTTACACTCTCTGTGCTTAAAACAGAGTGGCATCAAAGGACAATTGTGGCAACAGATGGCAGGGTGGGATTCCGTTAACAAATTGTAAGTGTTTCATGGGGGTTTAGCAAAGCTGCAAACATTTTGTTGTTACTAGAAAAGAACTGCTTCCCCAATTGTGTATGCATTGCAATCACAGCAGTCAGTGCTCCAGGAGAGAGCATATGTTTAGTATTCCTGTTAAGAATCTGATTTATCTCCTCCACTCACTGTGCAACATCCGCCATATATATATTGCTGCCTAGGAAAGCTTGAGTCACAGAAAAGCCCATCTTACAGCAGCTTTTCATGTCATGGGAAAAGAATGGTTGCCTGCAAAAGCTTCGCAGGAAGCTCTCCTAGTAGAGAGTAATCCAGGAAGCACTGCCCTCACGGCACCCAATAATTGCCCTCAGTTGCCCTCGGTCATGTCCTCACACGGCCAAATACCATTGGCTATACGGCATCGTGACACCATCATGCTCACGCATGGTATCTTTGGGCAAGAATGACTAAATGTCCGGTAATTTCCAATGTTTTTAAATACATCTTTCCAACCGACCAAAATGTCTATCTTTAGTTTGGTGGGGGGAAAAAAGCAAAACTAGAGAATATTCATTGTATCCTGACTATTACCTCAATGTTTGTGAAGAATCATGCGCAGCAATCTGTGCATTGCATGGATGCTGTCCGTTTTGATCCCAAATCAACAGAAATCCACAGATTTTAGTAGTACTCCACATTAACTGTTTTTTTTTTTTTAATTTCTACATTCAAGTCTTCCCATTGACCTCAAGTGGAATTTTGACTCTGCGCCAACGGGGTTTTGATGGCCAAAGTTGTTTCCTTATGAAAACAACTACAGGCGGCGTTCAATGGCTACGATGCTATTTTCAGCGCTTGGGTTTGATTCACAGTTGCTATGGGCTCTGATTTGCTGGCTGCCACCCAGGTCCAAATAAAAAATGAAAGGGATTGTGAGGGGGGGAGGAATCACGTTTTGATCCAAGATGTCCTATTGGGAATTTTGCCAGGGATTTAAGAAATCTGGGGTTCATAGGGTCTACATGCAGTCGCCGGTTCTTTCCAATCATTAATTTTGGCAAATGTTATCTCAGAAACACACGCAGACCAGATGGAGTTGTGTCAGCTCAATGAGGGCCAGTTTTTGCCTGACATTATTGGCTGCCTTGGGGGAAATATTTTGACAAACACCAGAATGGCCGCCTGAAATTCATCCAGTCGGCGTGTGCTGTGACAGCACAGAGAAAAGGGAATAGAAAAATGTACATACAGCCCTTTCTTGCTGTCCCACCATCCACCTACAGTTCCTTCCTTCCTTCCTTCCTTCACTTTTCTCACTGTAAAATCACAGTTGCTACCCTTGGAACGCAACTGTAAACCTTAGTTTAGAGGTTGAATCAAGGTGGAAACCTTTGCAAGTCCTACCAGTTTTTCCTTCTTTGGTCGATGCTTCTGTTTTGTGCAAATCTAAACACTCTCAGAATTCTGGGTGCTGGGCATGAACTTGTGCTTCCACCGAACCTGTGCTTTCATTCTTGCTTCAGGTTTCTAGTCCACATGACCACAAAAAGTCACTTGAAAGCATGCGGGCAATGAGAGATGCCAAGCTGGCTAAATACAGTAAGATTTCTGGCAGTCGGGTGAGGTGGGGATTGCTTTCTACACATGAACATATGCAGAGTGATTTCCCCTCACCGTTGAGTGACTGTCATCAACTCATAGTCATTTCGGCCTCCATACAAACAGACAATCATAGCAGTGTGGACTCATGTGGAGGGCTGGTTGTCTGCCACACCCAGTCATTGTGGCAAAGTGAATTTTGTCACATTCCCCTAACCAAATTGCAAATACTGAGTAGTTTGCAAATTACAAATTGTGGGATCCAGGGGAGGTGGTTAAATGAATGAGTCCAGTGGTGAAGCTGACAATCTCTCCAAACAGATTAAGGAGACCTGGTCCCCATCCTTGGTTTTTTTTAAAAAAAGATCCCTGTTGTAATACAGTGGTACCTCTGGTTATGAACTTAATTTGTTCTGGAGGTCCGTTCTTAACCAGAAACTGTTCTTAACCTGAGGTACCACTTTAGCTAATGGGGCCTCCTGCTGCTGCCGCTGTGCCATCGGCACGCGATTTCTGTTCTCATCCTGAGGTAAAGTTCTTAACCTGAGGTACTACTTCCGGGTTAGCGGAGTCTGTAACCTGAAGTGTTTGTAACCCAAGGTACCACTGTACTGACTTGACCTCACTTCATAGCTAAGTTACATTTGATCTGCTTTTAGGATTTCTGCTGTTTTCAGCATTTCTTTTAAATCTAAAGTTCTTGGGTTCTTCAAAACTCCAGTTAGAAAGCAAGCTTCTAGACCACTTCGTTGCAGGAATAAATTTTGAAAATGGGGACATCTCCTGTTCTCTAAACCTGGAGTGCACAACCTTTTTCACACAAAGGGCCGCCTTCCCAGCTGGGTAGCTTTCTGAGGGCTGTATGCTGGCGGTGGGTGGAGTCAGAGTCAGACATGGGTGGAGCAATGAATGCAAATGCTACCTTTGTACAGTAGGCATGTTTCTGCACATTCACACAAACACACATTGCTCTCCATCTTCCATCCAGAGAAGCAAAAGGCATCGTCAGAATTCAAGGGCACACTTGAGCCAAGCAGAAACACCCGGGATGCAAAGCAGGGACAGTAAGGGGTGTGGCCTGAGGGGAGGGTGTGACCTGGAGAGTGTTCCAAGGGCCTGATAGGAGGCCTTGGGGGCCACATTTGTGTCCCTCAGAAAGTTGCACTCCAAGCAGATATTCCCTCCGTCTTGCTTTTTCCCTCAAAACAATAATGACATGAAAGAGATATTCTGTGTTAGACTCTGTTCCTCCTCCCCTCTGGATCAAGGGGTGGAGCTTCTGTGAGCTCTCTGATTGGCTACCCTCTTTCCCCCTCTTGCCTGAGGTCACATGCCCTTACCTCTCCTGCTTCCATGTTATGTACTGAGTTGAATAGGATCCAAAATGCAGCAGTCTGATTGGTCCTAGAACAATAGGATTCAGAATACAGCAGTCTGATTGGCCCTAGAACAATAGGATTCAGAATGCAGCAGTCTGATTGGCCCTAGAACAATAGGACCCAGAATGCAGCAGTCTGATTGGTCCACAGGAGCCACCAATCCAGCTCCAGGTGGAAATGAATCCGCAGCCTGATTGGCCTACAGGTGAATCCCGGAATTAGCCAATCACGTGGGGCACATTGTGTAAATAATGTATATAAAGCAGACATCCTGGGGGAACTTCCATTCCTCCTCACCACTACGAGTTGAATAAAGAGCATGAAATCCACTCTCGACTCCGAGTATATTTCACTCCACATGGCCAAAAATTGCAGTTTTCTGCAACCAAGAGCTCAGAATAAAGAGTAACAGTTGGGCAAATTTATGCAAAAAAACCCCAAACCCGTCTATTGACTTGTACCATTAATTTATGCATTTCGGAGTTTCTAGGCAAATACTTGGGGTTTCCCCGGTGCCAAGTAATATGGAGGGGGGGCACAGATTAAAAAGGGTTTCCCAACCCTACCAAGACCACCCCCTTGCCTATAAGAGAAACAGATATTTCTCACAGCTCTGTCTCCTGTGCTGACAAACTCTTCTTCCATGGACTACCCCAACGCTCACGGGAGTCCGTTGAGCTAGACCTGCCCATGTAGACCTCAAAGGGTCCCATCCAGATCCATGGTGGATTCGACCGCAATATTCTGAGCACCAGTACAAAATGGGGCACCCCACACCTGGGCTTAAAATCGGGCATTTGCCAACCACCTTTCATTCCGGTGGACTTTGCCCGGTGGAAGGAACTGGTGGCAACTTCTCCTCTCGCAGATTCCAAGTTTGATGACAGCTGAGGGAAAGGACCGGGTTCAAATCAAACAGTTTATAATCTGCCTTATCCTGAGTCAGACACAACTGAATCAGTATTGCCTACATGGCCAGGCAGAGGCTCTCCAAGGTATCTGGCGGAGGAGACATTTTCTTCCTCAGTTTTTGCTACCTGAGACCCTTCTTGGACGGGAGATGGCTTGGGACAGAGCATGGGGCCTTTTGTACTCAAAACTCGGGCTCCCGCACTCAGCTCCCAGGGCATCCACTTGAGTCTACCTGCCCCCCCTTTTGACAGCCAACCACTGCGCGAGAGACATCGCCAAAAGAAAACAGAACCCCAAAGGGCAGAGATCCCTGCTGGCAATTAAATATCCGTCTCCTTAAGCCCGCAGGACTCGGAGTCCGTCAAATCGTCGTACATTTGGTACTCAATGCACTCCATGAACTCATTGGGGATCCCGATGGAGACCGACTCCACCTCTGTCTTGTACGAGGCCACGGCGCCCCCTTTGACGGAGCTGCCCCGGATTTTCTGCGAGAGGCTGTTCATTTTTTCCTTCAGCTGGGTGGAGGGCTTCTGGAAAGGGGAAAAGAGTCTCCACCTCTTGAAGTTCAGAGTCCTCCGTTTGCTGGCTCTTTCCAAGCTGCCCGAGTTCAACATGAAGGAGCCGTTGAGCGTGGAGATCCTGGACCTGGGCTCCCTCTCGGAGTCTTGGCCCGACCCGTTCATGGAGGCCCCTCGCCAGTGGTTGTCGTAGACCCTCCAAATGGGCCTCCTCCTCCTCCGGCACTGGCACTTGAGGAGGCGGGTGAAAGCCCTCTTGAACTCTTTGCTCGAGCAAGGGTAGATGATGGGGTTGACGCAGCTGTTGAAGTAGCCCAACCAGAAGATGACTTTGAAGAGCATCCCCGAGGGCTTCAGGGAAGGGAAGAAGGAACCTGGGCGGGAGATGGGAGAGAAAACAAGGCAAGAACGTAAGAATGGCTTTTGCAGGGTCAGACCACGGACCTTAGCATCATAGAATCTTTTTTTTTCTTTTAAATTTTAATTATACTTTTCAGATACATACTTTTCACTGATTTTACAGTCATTTTGACTTTTTTTATTGATACACCAAAAAAGAAAACAAAAACAAATGAAAATATTGATAAACACAATATTAATTACAAAACAGTAAAGCAAAAAAAGGTCTTTAGACATTTAGACATTTTAAAATTTGACTTCCTTCCCCCTCTTTCTGTGGCTCCTTAAATTTATTTTTAATATATTTTGCATTATCTAAATTATCTTAACTTACTCATTTACTTATCTTCTTTAAATATATAATCTTATGTAGCTGCGGGTTGTTACGGTAATCTTGTCAGTGTTTTTATCTGTTTACAATTTATCTGTAAATATTCACTAAACCATTTCCATTCTTTTATAAAAAAGTTTGTTCTCTTGATTTCTTATTCTTCTGGTAAGTTTCACCATTTCTGCATATTCCATAAGTTTTTGTATCCATTCTTCCTTTGCTGGGACTTCTTCTTTCCATTTTTGGGCAAGTAACGTTCTCGCCACTGTAGTCGCATACATGAATAAATTTCTATACAGTTTAGGTAGTTCTATCCCTCTTAGCATCACAGAATCTTAGAATTATAAAATTGTAGAATTGTAGAGTTGGAAGGGACCCAGTGGTCATCTGGTCCAACCCTAGCAATGCTGGAATCTAAATATCCCTTCTAGACATTTGAAGGCAGCCCTGGGTAGGGAAGTGTTTAGTGTTTAGTGTTTGATGTTTTATTGTGTTTTAAGTATTTTGTTGGGAGCTGGCCAGAGTGGCAACCCAATCAGATGGGCATAATAATAATAATAATAATAATAATTTATACCCCGCCCATCTGGCTGGGTTTCCCCAGCCACTCTGGGTGGCTTCCAACAAAATATTAAAATACAATAGTCTGTTAAGCATTAAAAGCTTCCCTAAACATTATTATTCCCTATTATTATTATTATTATTACATCCCTCCAACAGTCATGTCTGGAGGGTGAGTGCCGACTCTGCAGAGCCAGAACAGTTCATGCAGAAGTGGAAGGTTTCACCTGGCTCAGGAAAACCCAAGGTTTACAGAAGAATCACATTGCATCCCATTGCAGACTTCACATGCTCAGTTGCTATGGAGTGCTGACTGCTAGAGAGGGGGACACTGGAAAATGGAAGCGTGTCTGAAGAAAATGGAATATCCTGCAAGAGGGCATGGTTGGCTGGCTAGGACCCTAAACTGGAGCGATCCATGCTGCAGCAAAATCTGTTTAACCTGTCACTGTGTGAGAGCATCTGGTCTGGTCTTCTGGGGGCCATGGCCAAACAGTGTGCTGCATGGTTCAGAAAGGGTTTGAACTCTCTCCCCTACACATCAAACACTGAATCTAACTTATTGCATCCCTCAACACTTATTTACACTGTTGAATTCATCTTAACGCTGCCAGAGTTTTCAGCTGTACGCAATTATTTCCCATATATTCTATAAACACTTTCCAAACTTTTTAAAACATATGTTCTTCTTGTTCTCTTATTCTATATGTTAAGTCTGAGAGTTGTGCATATTCTGTCAACTTAAGCTGCCATTCTTCTTTGCTCGTTTTCCATTTTGGGGCTAACAAAACATGGGCCACAGTAACAGCACACATAAATAACCTTTTTTTGACACCTGGGAATTTCAGTCTGAATTATCCCCAACATAAAAGACTCTGATTTTTTTTGGGAAAGTACATTTAAACTTTTTTTTCAATTCACTATGGATCATTTCCCAATACTCTTTTACCCTTTTACAAGTCCATCTTGTACATCTGAAAGAACATTCCCTCCACCTCTTTGCATCTCCAACACTTATCTGATCCACTCTTATACATCTTAGCAAACCTACTCTGAGTTAAATACCATCTGCAAATCATTTTCAAGTACTTCTCCTTCACAGAATAACGTGTTGTGAACTTCAAGTGACTTTTCCAGAGTTTTCCCCGGAAGTTAAAACCTATACTGTGTTCCATATCTATTGCCCAGTGTGTCATTGAAGCTCTAACTAGCTCATTTTTTTGTTGGGAAGCCCCATTTGATACGTGTGCTCAGACCATTAAGGTGCGGTCGAAGGTAGAATGGGGGTGGGATCCTTTCTGGACCCAAGATCCAGACCCCAGAGTTATGGCCTCAACACATTCCTGCAGGGCCGGCTTTAGGTTTGATGAGGCCCTAAGCTACTGAAGGTAATGGGGCCCTTTATACGCCCAGCTGTCCTTTGTCAACAACAAACTGTCGCTGTTTTTTGTGTTGAATATATCCTATATGGTAATTTATGGACCTAATAGGTATCCAGCCCAGCCTTTCGCATGATGAATTCTGCATATACAGTGGTGCCCCGCAAGACGAATGCCTTGCAAGACGAAAAACTGGCTAGATGAAAGAGTTTTCCGTTTTTTGAGTCGTTCCGCAAGACGAATTTCCCTATGGGCTTGCTTCGCAAGACGAAACATCTTGCGAGTTCTTGCGAGTTTGTTTCCTTTTTCTTAAAGCCGCTAAGCCGTTAATAGCCGCTAAGCCGCTAATAGCCGCTGAGCCGCTAAGCCGCTAATAGCCGTGTTTCGCAAGACGAAAAAACCGCAAGACGAAGAGACTCGCGAAACGGATTAATTTCGTCTTGCGAGGCACCACTGTAAGTTGTATCCCTGCATATTTAACTTATATGCAGAATTCATCATGCGAAAGGCTGGGCTGGATGAATCCCTAGCTGGAATTAAGATTGCCGGAAGAAATATCAACAACCTCAGATATACAGATGACACAACCTTGATGGCAGAAAGTGAGGAGGAATTAAAGAACCTTTTATTGAGGGTGAAAGAGGAGAGTGCAAAATATGGTCTGAAGCTCAACATCGAAAAAACGAAGATCATGGTCACTGGTCCCATCACCTCCTGGCAAATAGAAGGGGAAGAAATGGAGGCAGTGAGAGATTTTACTTTCTTGGGCTCTATGATCACTGCAGATGGTGACAGCAGCCACGAAATTAAGAGACGCCTGCTTTTTGGGAGAAAAGCAATGACAAACCTAGACAGCATCTTAAAAAGTAGACACATCACCTTGCCAACAAAGGTCCGTATAGTAAAAGCTATGGTTTTCCCAGTAGTGATGTATGGAAGTAAGAGCTGGAACATAAAGAAGGCTGATCGCCGAAGAATTGATGCTTTTGAATTATGGTGCTGGAGGAGACTTTTGAGAGTCCCATGGACTGCAAGAAGAACAAACCTATCCATCCTTAAGGAAATCAGCCCTGAGGCTCACTGGAAGGACAGATCGTGAAGCTGAGGCTCCAAGACTTTGGCTACCTCATGAGAAGAGAAGACTCCCTGGAAAAGACCCTGATGTTGGGAAAGATGGAGGGCACAAAGAGAAGGGGACGACAGAGGACGAGATGGTTGGATAGTGTCTTCAAAGCTACCAGCATGAGTTTGACCAAACTGAGGGAGGCAGTGGAAGACAGGAGTGCATGGCGTGCTCTGGTCCATGGGGTCACGAAGAGTCGGACACGACTAAACAACAACAAAAAATAGGTATCTAAAGCCATTTGCACATGTTGCCATGCAACCAGTCCATGCAGAATGTATAAAAAAAGGTAAAGGGACCCCTGACCGTTAGGTCCAGTCACAGAAGACTCTGGGGTTGCAGCGCTCATCTCGCTTTATTGGCCGAGGGAGCCGGCGTACAGCTTCCGGGTCATGTGGCCAGCATGGCTAAGCCGCTTCTGGCGGACCAGAGCAGCACATGGAAAGGCCGTTTACCTTTCCGCTGGAGTGGTACCTATTTATCTACTTGCACTTTGACGTGCTTTCAAACTGCTAGGTTGGCAGGAGCAGGGACCGAGCAACAGGAGCTCACCCCGTCGCGGGTATTCGAACCGCTGACCTTCTGATCGGCAAGCCCTAGGCTCAGTGGTTTAGACCGCAGCGCCACCCGCGTCCTGACATGCAGAATGTAGGCACCCTATATATAGAAATGAGCAAACCAGGGAGCAAGCTAGCAGGTGGGGCCCATGCCTTACATCACAGGAGCCTACACAACACAAAATACTGTTGCTGTATGTAGGTTTTATTTCATTTGTTTCTTATTTAAATTTTGGAAATGTACATCCAGTTTTTTCCCCTTTAATTTTTTTGGGGGGTTTCCAAGAGAGTGGGGCCCTAAGCTAATAGCTTTTTTAGCTTATACATATATCCGGTACTGCATTCCTGTGATTCTTAATGTTTGGATGGATTGCTCATGCAATGGCACCCATGGGGGCCAGCCCCTGCTTCTTCACCAGAAATGGAGCCCCCCCAAGCCCTTCCCCTCACCTACAGATCATAATGAGATTTGAAGGAGCGTCTCCACCCCCATTGTTCTACCTGGACACTGAGGTCCAGCGCTGAAGGCCTTCTGGCGGTTCCCTCCCTGCAAGAAGCCATGTTACAGGGAACCAGGCAGAGGGCCTTCTCGGTAGTGGCACCCGCTCTGTGGAATGCCCTCCCATCAGATGTCAAAGAGAACAACAACTACCAGACTTTTAGAAGACATCTGAAGGCAGCCCTGTTTAGGGAAGCTTTTAATGTTTGATGTATTATGGTATTTTAATATTTTGTTGGAAGCCGCCCAGAGTGGCTGGGGAAGCCCAGCCAGATGGGTGGGGTATAAATAATAATAATAATAATAATAATAATAATAATAATTGTTGTTGTTGTTGTTATTATTATTATATGCAGGGAACCAAGAGGACTCCGTCTCCAGGCCCTGATTCATGTCAAGGATGTCAAACCAGGGTCTGATTTTTTACACCTGTCCCAGAGTCTAAAGAGAATCTAATAAATTACAGGCAACCCTAACCATCACTACTCAGAAGTAAGTCCCGCTTGGGTTCATAGAACTATAGAGTCGGACAGGATGCCCAAGGTTCAACCCCATGCAAAATTTCAGCGGGGTTTACTTCGAAATAAGCGAGATTAGGATTGCAGCCTAAATTTGTTGACTCTAGACTGGCGTCTCCAAACCTCACACCCTTTAGCATGGCCCCAGGCTGGGGTAGATGGGGTCTGTAGAATCGCAGAAAACAACAGCGACAATTTGTATACCATCCTATACCCGCAGGTCTCAGGGCAGTTACAACACAATATAAAAACACAAAGTACATGTGAAAAACAAAAGCAAAAAAAGTGAATGTAGAGTTGGAAGGGGCGCCAAGGGTCATCTAGTCCAACCCCCTGAAATGCAGGAAGTCTGATGCATCCGGAGGGCACCAGATTGGGGAAGCCTGGTCTACTTTATTACTGGGAATGGATTGTGTCTGGGTGTTCGTGTGTCAGCCCAGCCTCGGCCGAAACCTCAAGGCGAGATTCTTCTCCCCAAAGCGATAATGAACGCTTGCCCTAATGCCATTATCCATTCCTGGAGTTTTGCCTTCAGAAATAGAAAGTGGAACGGCTGAGAAGCCAGCAGGGCCAGTCCTTTGATTGTGGCATGATGTTCTTGGATAATTGGAAGAGGCTTTCTTGTGCAAGCATCAAATCCTCTCTTGTCTATTAATCCCCATTTGTCCCCATTAATCCCCCATTAACCCTCTCGGAGTTCCGGCACATGGCGTTGCCCATCTCTGTCCAGCAGATGGCTCTCTTGCACTCTGCCCGGCCTCCGTGGCTATTGCCCAGGGAACGCTAAGAATAACTCTCTGACTCAGCCTGACTGTTTTTTAATTTTAGATGAATCATGACGCTGCGTGACTGCGGTGTTAATTTGTATTATGGGTAAATAGCATGCGCTTCCAAGGCACTGGTGCTAAACCCCGGTGTCAAAACAGCTCCGAGCGGAGCACTTGGCATCGCGGGGCAAGGAAACATCGGAATCCTGAAAGCGAGAACAGAAAACACCCTCTCACAATACAGCCCCATAGTTTGCTGGCTGAGAAAAGGAGCCTCCGGGACCTGTTTGTAGCGGGGAGAAAGAAAAACACCCAGCAACATTGTGGGGGTCCTGATTTTGCAGAGTCTGAACTGTGGGCTTCACTTTCAGAAGCTGCAAGATTCCAGGGCAAATGATATATTCATTCACAAGAACATAAGTAGACCCTGAATACAGGCTTCAAGCTCTCGTGAGTTGCACTGACAAACCAAACACAGGAAAATGATGTCTACAGAGTCAGACCTTTCAGTTCTCCAGCTCAGCTCAGGGTCGCCTACGTGCCAGAAATGAACTGGATCTGGTGGGTGGGCCAAATCCTTAACTTCCTTACACCTTGCTGGCACTTTCTGGCAAGGTCGATGGGGAAACTCTCTGGCAAAGCATCTGCCATCACAGTGACATCAGGCAACGGTCCTCAGGACTTCAAAGCACCGGTTCAGCAGGCTTGAAGTCATAGAACTACAGAATTGTAGAGTTGGGACCACAAGGATCATCCAGTCCAACCCCCTGCAATGCAGGAATCTTCACGCCCAATGTGGGATTCGAATCCACAAACCTGAGATTTAGAGTCTCATGCTCCACCCACTGAGCTATCCCAGGTGATAGGGTGGTGACTTCAAGCCTGCTCCCTTCAGGGATTGGCTGCATCAGCAATGTCTAGGCAACACAATGACCATGTACATGCGCAATAAACAATATTTTATAGAATTCCTTCAAACCATAACAAGTCCAAAATGAAATCTTTAGTCTCAAAGTCTCTGGAAATCTTTGAATGAAGCGAGGTACCAGACTTTGTACGATGAAAGACTAGCTGTGAAGCTTTGTGTATTCAGCAAACATGATGCCCAACACTGAACAGTGATTCCGGATATAGACACCTGTTTCGTAGAATTCTTCGTCAGTGTGGTGGGAGGATATAGAATTGCTTCATAAACCCATCTTATTTCGAATGAATGTATGTAAATGAAAATATCAAACGCTGTGGAACAGTGCTCATGTAATAATGTTGCATGATAGAGCCGGGAGCTTCGTGATTTGCTGATTTTAATCAGCAAATATTAACCAGTAAGGTTGTGAGTAAAAGCACACCCTTGCTTAAAAGTTGCAGCTATTTTGGAGCTGGTATGTTGTTAACTGTACCAGGGAATGAAAAGGGAAAAAAAGAAACATTGAAGATGGACACCCCTTCTAACAAGAGATTTTAGCTTGGAAAGATGTTTAGCCTGGAAAAAAGGGAGTCTGAGAGGAGATTTGAGAGCCATCTTCAAATATCTCAGTGGCATGTTTGCTTTTTCCTGCTCCGGAGGGTAGGACTCGAATCAAGGGCTCCAAGTTGCAAGAAAGGAGATTCTGACTAAAAGTTTGGAAAAAAACTTTCCGACAGTAAGAGCTTTTCGGCAGCGGAACAGATTCCCAGGAGTGGTGGTGGCCTCTCCTTTTTAAGCAGAGGTTGGATGGCCATCTGTCATGGATGATCTGGTTGAGATTCCTGCATTTCAGGGGGTTGGACTAGATGACCACTGGGCCCTTCCAACTCTAGGATTCTATGATTAGTCTGTGTTGTTTGTTAAATTGTCATGCTATTTCACACATCTCCCCAAAAGAGGAGGTCACGTGTTATGCTCTCTCTCTCTCTCACTTTTAAACAAAACAGCCGAGCTATTATTCTGGAATCCCAGGCAGGGATGCAGCCAGAATCTTTGAGAGGTTTCTTGTGCCGCAATTGGCAAGCCTCAAGTCCCTTTTGGAAGGGCATTTGTTTATCACCAGACTTGCATTCTGGAGCAGCCTGGAACCGACTCCCAAAATACCTTGGTGATGCTCTTTTTTCGCTCTCCCCCTTCAACTCCCTCCTCAAAAGCCAACCGTTCTGTGAAATAAACACATCCCCCCCCCCCCAATTGAACCTCCTTCCGTCCATTGCCCCTGCGGTGTGTCAAATTTAAGACAAAAAGTTCCTCGGGGCAGGGATAGCTATGTTGGTAGAGACTCATAATCCCTGTGTTCAAGCCCCAAGTTGGGCAAAAGATTCCTGCATTGCAAGGGGTTGGACTAGATGGCCCTCATAGGCCCTTCCAGCTCTATACTATTTAAAAATAGTATAGTATTTAAAAATAAATACTATTTATTTTTTATCCCGCAAAGCAGGTCCAACATCCTCCGGCAAGGCCCACCGGCATTGACACCTGCCCTGGGTCTGCGAGCCACCCTTTTGGATTTCCCACAATGCCCCTGAGGTAACACCACTCCAGGGCATTATGGGAAAGGTAAAAATGGTGGCTTGCAGCTGATCCCCGCCATCGCTGAGCAAGTCCACGGTTGGGGCCCCACAGATATAGGAGGTGGACCACCAGAGAGCTATTTCCCAGAGAGACATTAAAAAAAAATTACCAATATTTCTGGAGTGAGGATGGACCGTTGTGGTCTTTATTGACCAAATTAGATGCTTTGTGTTATGTACTGAAGTTCTCACCCTGGGCCAGCAGGGGGATACTGTAGATAGTTTTCACCAGGTCCGCATATGCAAATAAGGAATTGAAAGTGACATCCAGTGATTGGATAGTTACAGAAAGTTGTTACTGTTGCTTTGTAGTTGAGCTCTATATAAGCAGGTTGGCTGAACCCTTCAGTTCAGTTCTGTTCTGGACTGTGAATAAACAAGAGCTGTCTGAAGAATCGCTGTGTCGTCTGATATGTTCACCCACAACTTAACACTTTGGGCTGTACCGGTCCATCCTGATTTCCCAAACAGCAGTGGTTTATTCCAGCAGGAGAGTAGCTTGCTTCTACATGGCTTCCTCTGCCCCTTTGGTGGGGAGAAAGGGCCTGTGAAAAGCATTTGGAAAACAGACAAGCCAGCCAGATTTATTAGACCTCGGCTTGGAGGAAGGGAGAGATGGAGGCTGGGATATATGCAATTCGGCCGATAGCGGCAACTGTGCTCATCCACAACATTCATTTTCATTCAGGTGTTCCTGCTTTACAGAGGGTATTCCTCTGTTCGTCAGGGTCCTCTCTTTAAGGGGCTGTCTTGTCAAAGACCAGAGAATTGGGGGACCTGAGAAGCGGTGCCCACCAAGACCTTAACACCTGGGCAGCAGACCGATTGCACTTCGACTGCAATTTCAGTAACTGTTTCTAACTCTTTTGCCTCTGTGCATATAAATTGGGGCATGCAAATACGATGCAAATGTGTGCCCAATATAGCCCCCTTTCTCTCCCTTTTTGGTACCTGCCTGAATGGCGCCTGCACCAGAGTTAGGGACGCAGGCAGCTGCCTGAGTTTGACACAGAAAAGATTGACGGGTGCACAGCTCCAGGCCTCTCTGCCTGCCTCTGGGGACCCTACCCAGCCTGCAGCCCTCCCTTGCCCTGCCCTGTGCCCTCCTTGAACTCGTTGGCCTGTCTGGGAAGCAGCAGTGCCATCTAGGCCCCACGACTGTGGGTGTCTGGGGTTGTGGGTGCATTACAGCGTGCACGGCCCTGGCACCCAAATGTGTGGGTGCCAGGCCCCTTCATGGGGAATTTTTTGTGTGTTTGGGCACCCAAGGCCCCAGGGAGTTGGCACCTATCCTGGGATGTTCCCTTGAGATGCTTGACTGGGATGTTCCCTTGAATACTGCTTGACTGCATTGAGAGGAAGGTAGGTGTGTCTTTGTGTGGGCATGCGTGGAAAAAAGTGAGCTATAAATGCAAAAAATGAATGACGTGTTACCGTCTCCCTTCTTTCCAGTATTAGGAAATGGTCCTAGCTTTGTTGTTTGCCTTTTAAGTCTCCCTGGATAGCTGAGTTAGTGAAGTATGGGACTCTTAATGTCAAGGTCCTGGGTTCGAGTCCCATGTTGGGCAAAATATTCCTGCATCGCAGAGGGTTGGACTAGATGACCCTTGTGGTCCCTTCCAACTCTACTATTCTACAGACCATAAGCATCAAATACAGCATATGGTTAGAAGAAGAAGACGACGACGACGACGAAGAAGAAGAAGAAGAAGAAGAAGAGGAGTTTGGATTTGATATCCCACTTTATCACTACCCTAAGGAGTCTCAAAGCGACTAACATTCTCCTTTCCCTTCCTCCCTCACAACAAACACTCTTTGAGGTGAGTGGGGCTGAGAGACTTCAGAGAAGTGTGACTAGCCCAGGGGTCAGCAAATTTTTTCAGCAGGGGCTGGTCCACTGTCCCTCAGACCTTGTGGGGGCCAGACTATATTTTTTTTGGGGGGGGATGAATGAATTCCTATGCCCCCAAAATAACCCAGAGATGCATTTTAAATAAAAGCACACATTTTACTCAAGTAAAAACACCAGGCAGGCCCCACAAACTGAGATTGATTCATTCTCTACCTCCCCGACGTGGCTGGAGAATGAAGTTTGGTTGTGCAGGGACGTCTGTTCGCCTCGCTGTCCGTGAATCGGGCTGCTGGCTGATGAATTACTAGCGTGTGACGAAACGCACCGATCGACTTCCCAGCTGAACACCGCAGGCTTAGAGATGCGAGCGGCTATTCTTGGCTCCATTCATCCCTGGGGCCACGTTCATCCTTAAAGCAACCCCCAGCTCCCATCCACGGCAGTAAATGAATTTGCGCCGGAGGAGAAATTGGCCCTTCTCCTGCGTAGGCCCGAGAGAGCCGTTAAGCTCTTCCGCAGATTAAAATGTCTTTTGGCAAAACAGGGGCCGGTGATATTTATTATCTGCTAAGTGAGATGAGCTGAATGGCCTGGTCACATACAGGACAGTCGCATGCTGGTCGCGAGGGGCTTGCGAGGTGGACGAGCAGGGGCTCAGTCAAGCTCTCTGGGGCTTGTGGTTTGGCCCCAGCATAACCTCACAAGCCCCTGTCCTTCAGAGACACCCTCCCCTTGCAATATGAAATGCAAAGCACAGCTCAGGAGTAGAGCTTTTGCCTTAGGATAATTTGTTGTTGTTCAGTCGTTTACTCGTGTCCGACTCTTCATGACCCCATGGACCAGAGCACGCCAGGCACTCCTGTCTTCCACTGCCTCCCGCAGTTTGGTCAGACTCATGTTTGTAGCTTTGAGAACACTGTCCAACCATCTCGTCCTCTGTCGTCCCCTTCTCCTTGTGCCCTCCATCTTTCCCAACATCAGGGTCTTTTCCAGGGAGTCTTCTCTTCTCACGAGGTGGCCCAAGTATTGGAGCCTCAGCTTCAGGATCTGTCCTTCCAGTGAGCACTCAGGGCTGATTTCCTTCAGAATGGAGAGGTTTGATCTTCTTGCAGTCCATGGGACTCTCAAGAGTCTCCTCCAGCACCATAATTCAAAAGCATCAATTCTTCAGCGATCAGCCTTCTTTATGGTCCAGCTTTCACTTCCATACATCACTACTGGGGAAACCATGGCTTTAACTATACAAACCTTTGTTGGCAAGGTGATGTCTCTGCTTTTTTTTCTATTATCTTAGGATAATAGAATCACAGAATCATAGAACTGTAGAGTTGGAAGGGACCCCAAAGGTCCTCTATTCCAACCCCCTGCAATGCAGGAATCTCAGCAAGAGCATCCCTCAAAGATGGCTATCCAACCTCTGTTTAAAAACCTTCAAGGAAGGAGAGTCCACAACCTCCAGAGGGAGTCTGTTCCACTGCTCTTACTGTCAGGAAGACCTTCCTGATGTTTAGTCATAACCTCCTTTCTTGAGGGCACAAGATATAGGTCATAATACAATGTTTGAAGATTGGGAAAGATGGTGGAAAACGGATTTAAAATTTGCAGACTGCTCTTTGTTGAAAGAAAACTACATGAAAATGATGTATAGATGGTATATAACACCAGAGCAGATAGGAAGAATGTATAAAACTGGTTCAAATATATGTTGGAAATGCAAGGAAAAAGAAGGGACTTTTTACCATATGTGGTAGGATTGCAGTAAAGTTTTAAAAATTCTGGGAAATGATATACAATGAGTTGAAGAAGATGTTCCAGTTAACATTTGTAAAAAAGCCTGAAGCATTTTTGTTATGGATTGTAGGAAAAGACCTGCCAAGGAAATTGAAAAACATTTTCATGTATGTGAGAACGGCGGCAAGAGTCTTTATAGCACAAGGAGGGAAGAACGAAGAAATCCCGACAAAAGAACTGTGGTAAGGGAAACTGATGGACTATGCGGAATTGGCAAAATTGACACACAAGCTGTGTAATAAAGACAACTGTGACTTTAAAGAAGAATGGGAACCTTTTACAAAGTACTTAAAGAAACAAAAAAACTGAATTGAACTCCTTGGCAGGTTTTGAATAAACATACACAAATTTATTATTGGTAACATATAGATAGATAAATTAAGGATCTTTACAATTTTATAATATGCAGAGAATAACACGTGCTGAAAAACCAGAGAGAGAAGCCTAGGGAAGTCTGGGTTGGGTTGGTGCTTTTCTTTTTTGGGCAGGGGGAGGGAAAAATGGGGGGGGGGAAATGAGGATGATATGTTTTTTGATAAATTGTTATGTTGAAATTCCTAATAAAAAATTAAAAAAGAAAAGAAAAGAAAAACCTCCTTTCTTGTAACTTGAAGCCATGGGTTCAAGTCCTACCCTACAGACCAGGAGAAAACAATCCGGGGGAAACCCGAATTGTCGTTTACTCTGACTGAGCGCTATGGCTCAGCCGGCAGAGCATGAGACTCTTAATCTCAGATTCCTGCATTGCAGGGGGTTGGACTAGATGATCCTCGTGGTCCCTTGCAGCTCTACGATTCTGTGATTCTAAAGAGCATTTGAAAGCAGCTGGAGAAAAGGAAGTGTGGGTGATCCCTGAGCTGCCATGTGCGAACGATCCAGCCCAGCTGAAATGCCACAGAGACCAAACTTTATGACAGCGTCAGCATGCCCGTACGTGTGAGCATGGATGATGCAGAAGCAACTTCAGCAACCAGACTCCTTTCTCCCTCTCAGCCAGCTTCAGTCTCGGCCTGGCCTGCCGCATCTTGGAGGTCATGAGACTTTCCTTGTTTTGTTTAGACTGCCTCTAAGCAGCCCGTGATTGATGCCTCTCCTTTTAGTTAATTGCGTTTCTGCTCTTGATGCTTTTATTGTGACATTTTATGGCTGGCTTTCTTTCTTATTTTTTTTTTTAAGAATGATTGCATTCTGCTTTTATGCCTTCTGCTTTGAGTCTCCAGAATGGCAGCATAAAAGACAAAATTAGAAAAATGAAAAAGCATGGTGGTGAAGTTCCCTCCTTGCTGTGCCTCCCTCAGTTATTTGCAGTGCGTTGGGTCTCAGAGACAGGTTTTCTTCCCCTCTTCTCCCCACCTTCCCACCTGTTTCCAGCAAATTGCAATTGCAAAACCAGGTGGTGCTTATCGAAGGTTGGGGACTGCCGGCTGCCACCCCTCGCAGCTAGAGCATGTCCGGACTTGACCTTCAGACCCTGCTGCTGTTACATGATCCATGTTCCCTACATTTCAGCCAAGAAGACTGAGCAGGTTGTGGAGCGAAGGTGTCAGATTTGAGGTGCCAAGAGTTACTCAGAGACCCTATTCCCCCTCCAGGGAATTTCCTTCATATGTGGTGGACTTGTTGTTTGTTGTTGTTGTTTAGTCGTTTAATTGTGTCCGACTCTTCGTGACCCCATGGACCAGAGCATGCCAGGCACTTCTGTCTTCCACTGCCTCCCACAGTTTGGTCAAACTCATGCTGGTAGCTTTGAGAACACTATCCAACCATCTCGTCCTCTGTCATCCCCTTCTCCTTGTACCCTCCATCTTTCCCAACACCAGGGTCTTTTCCAGGGAGTCTTCTCTTCTCATGAGGTGGCCAAAGTATTGGAGACTCAGCTTCAGGATCTGTCCTTCCAGTGATAACTCAGGGCTGATTTCCTTCAGAATGGATCGGTTTGATCTTCTTGCAGTCCATGGGATTCTCAAGAGTCTCCTCCAGCACTATAATTCAAAAGCATCCATTCTTTGGCGATCAGCCTACTTTATGGTCCATCTCTCACTTCCATATATCACTACTGGGAAAACCATAGCTTTAATTATACGGACCTTTGTTGGCAAGGTGATGTCTCTGCTTTTTAAGACGCTGTCTAGGTTTGTCATTGCTGGTGGACTTGTACCAAGGTCAAAGCCTTCTGGGATATAATATATAATGAATTAAAAAAGGTTTTTAAATATAATTTCAACAAAAAACCAGAGGCATTTTTGTTAGGTTTAATTGGAGAGGAAATTCAAAAAAGAAAGATGTAAATTTGTTTATGTATACCACAACAGCTGCAAGGATACTTCTGGCCCAGAAATGGAAGCAGCAGGAACTTCCTGTGTTGGAAGAATGGCAGTTAAAGATGGTGGAATACGTAGAGTTGGCAAAGCTGTTGGGGAAGATCTGGAATCGGTGTGACAAAACATTTCAAAAGGACTGGAGCAAATTTATATTTTACATGAAAGAAAATTGTAAACATTTAAAACGTTTGTAGGTTGGAGTTGAAATGTTTTGTAATGTGAAAATAAGGAGCCGTTTTACATATAACGAGGTGAAATGTTAAAAGAAGATAGAAGGTAAAAGAGTGGTTATAGAAATGCTAAGAATTTATTTAAAGATGTTTGGAAGTCAGAAAGAGGGAGGGAAGGAGGTCAATGCTCTGTTTGAGCAAGGTTTAAGGTTATAGATTTATGTAATAAATATGGAAAACTCAATAAAAATTATTATTATATATAAAAAAGAGACCCAATTCCCCCTCCAGAGCTACAATTCTCTCTGGGGTTTACCAGTCCATCCCTTTTCTCAGAGAGCTCTGGGGACTGTAGCGCTGTCAGGAGACCAGGGGATCGAACAACTCTCCTCACCCTTAAAAATGACAGCGCCCAGAATTCTTTGGGGGAAGCCTCGACTGTTTGAAGCAGCACCATGGCGCTTTAAATGTATAATGCAGATGTTTGCTTCATGCTCTGACGACATGGTATGAATAATGGTGATTTTAGCACAGCGCCGAAGTGACCATGATAATACGGGAGCTTGGAGCCGAATCTTCCTCTCATTTTTTTTTGCAGCCAAGTCAGATCTGCAAAATTCAAGAAACTTGGTGCAGGCCAGGGGTTAACCTCCAAGTTCACATTCTTAGAAAACCAGAGGGAGGGGAACTTGGAAGCTGGAAAAACAAACACAGAATAGTCTTGGGAGAGGTTCGGCCATCACGGAACTATTTTTCCAAGTCTCCAAGTGAACAGATTGAGCATCCGTTGCATTTGCCCTTTTATGAGTTGTCTGGGTGGATGATTTGCCATCAGTTTTTCCAGGGTCACCTTTTGCTCTTTAGCAGGAAGCGTTTTTCTATATCCCCAGCGAAAAGAGAGGGTTGCGGGGGAAACTGCACACTCTCTGGTTCGATTAATATGAATCAATCGGTTTTGACACAGACTAATCCGGCATATGCCCTCTCTCAATCAGCATACAAACCGAAGCACGGCTGGCTATCCTTTGAAACTGACAATTCCCCACTGCTGCGATGATGCAGTTCGTCAACCCCAAACAGCGAGAAAAATGCCCATGTTAGTGAAAATAATGCACAGAACTCTACCAAGGGGAGAAGGAATGGCTTGCACAATTGGGTGTATGAAGCAAACTTGTGTATTATTTGTTGATTTGCTGGACCCTGAGACCCCTGGGTATAGGGTGGTATATAAATTCAATAAATAAAAATAAAATAAAATAAAACTAATACAGCAGCAACGAAAACCCACTGCTTTAAAACAGCAAAACATAAAAGCACAGGTAGATACGGCAACTCCATTTCTCAGGGAACATTTTGTGTCTCCTGAAGCCCCTCCTCTTTCAACTCCAAAATATTTGCAGAACTCAGCAAAACCCTGATAAAACTTTGAGGGGAGTCTTGCCAGATCAGACCAAGGGGACGTCGACTTCATATTTTCAGCAGCATTCAGCCAAATTTGTCTGGGAAGAATGAATATAGGAAGAGCCCTGGAATTTTGTTGTTTAGTCGTTTAGTCGTGTCCGACTCTTCGTGACCCCATGGACCAGAGCACGCCATGCACTTCTGTCTTCCACTGCCTCCCGCAGTTTGGTCAAACTCATGCTGGTAGCTTAGAGAACACTATCCAACCATCTCGTCCTCTGTCATCCCCTTCTCCTTGTGCCCTCCATCCTTCCCAACATCAGGGTCTTTTCCAGGGAGTCTTCTCTTCTCATGAGGTGGCCAAAGTATTGGAGCCTCAGCTTCAGGATCTGTCCTTCCAGTGAGCACTCAGGGCTGATTTCCTTAAGAATGGATAGGTTTGATCTTCTTGCAGTTCAAGAGTCTCCTCCAGCACCATAATTCAAAAGCATCAATTCTTCTACGATCAGCCTTCTTTATGGTCCAGCTCTCACTTCCGTACATCACTACTGGGAAAACCATGTCTTTAACTATACGGACCTTTGTTGGCAAGCTGATGTCTCTGCTTTTTAAGATGCTGTCTAGGTTTGTCATTGCTTTTCTCCCAAGAAGCAGGTGTCTTTTAATTTCGTGGCTGTTGTCACCATCTGCAGTGATCATGGAGCCCAAGAAAGTAAAATCTCTCACTGCCTCCATTTCTTCCCCTTCTATTTGCCAGGCGGTGATGGGACCAGTGGCCATGATCTTCGTTTTTTTGATGTTGAGCTTCAAACCATATTTTGCGCTCTCCTCTTTCACCCTCATTAAAAGGTTATTTAATTCCTCCTCACTTTCTGCCATCAAGGTTGTGTCATCTGCATATCTGAGGTTGTTGATATTTCTTCTGGCAATCTCAATTCCGGCTAGGGATTCAAGGATAAAAGCCCATTCGGTCCAGCAGCCTGTTCTCATAGCAGCCAATCAGCTGCCTATGGGAAGCCCTTATAGCACAACAGCGTCCTCCCCTGGGGAACAAATGCATTAGTCTATGCGCTAAGATGGTCAAGGGTCTGGAAACCAAGCCTTATGAGGAACGGTTGAGGGAGATGAGTATGTTCAGCCAGGAAAAGAGGAGACTGGGAGAAGATAGGATAATCATCTTCAGATATCTAAAGGGAAGGAAGATGGAGCTTAGGGTCCCGTCCACTCTACAGTGCTATGATTCTACGTATCCTCTGGCCCCTGAGATGTCTTAAGGCAGCAGAATCAAAAGCCCTTTCTACGCTGATATTTCTGTCTGTTTCATTGATCTGACTTATGACATTCTACTTATTCCCATTTTATTTCTGTTCTGAGTTGTTGCAAGTGGCTTTGGAGGCCGGAGACCATGCCAGAGGCAGTGCATTCATCGCCGGGCAGTAGATTCCTCCAAATCTCCAGTTGCTGGAAACTGCAGGTGGAAAGAGGGTTGTTGCGCTCAGTTCTGCTTGCAGTCTTCCCCAGGGCATCTGCTGGACCACAGTTGTGAGAGCAGGACATTGGACGAGAGGCAGCATTGGCCAGATGCTACAGGTTTCGTCTTACTCTCTCAAGGAACCGGTGTGATGGCCTGGGACTTGGGCTCGGACTTGGAGCCAGAGGAGTCTCAGTCCGCGCCAGATCCTTTGCCTCAGGCGGCAGCCAAACCTAATCTGGGGCCTGATCCTGAAGAGCCCCAGTCTGCACAGGTTCCCCTGCAACAAGCACCAGCTGGGCCGAGTCAGGGGCCTGAGCCTGCCCTGGCTCCAGATGTGGGGATTACCTTGTTGCCTCCAGCTGGGCCATCGCTTACAGCTGCTCCACTACCAGTTGGGTCAGGAGAGGCTGAGGCGGCCTCTGGGTCTAGTAACCCACCGACATCTCCCGAGCTGCAGAGACTAAGGTCTGAGAGAAGGAGAGACCTGAGTACTCGCAGGAAGAGTGCTTGCCTTTGGGCAAGACAGGGAGGTGAGTTGCCGGTGGATCAGGACCAGCAGTTACCCCAATAGAGATAAAAGGCTGCTGGACCCCGTCCCAGGTTGTGGGAGCAATGTTGCTGTTTGCCTGAACCTGCCTGTGATCCTGTGCCTGACCTTGCCTGGTTTCCTGCCTCGTGTCCTGCCTTTGCCCTGTCAGACTGACTCCTCGCAGAACCCTTGGATTTGGGACCGGACCTGGACCGCGTTGCTTGGGTTACCCTCCGGCCCAGCACAACCGCAACCAGCCAACCCACCAAGGAAGTCAGAGAATGAGTGGACCGAGGACAGGAGAAGACAAGTCTTCCTCTTCCAGATCCACGAAGCAAAAACAGAAGCCCCCCAAAAGAGGGAGCCATGTGGCCAGAGGGTGGAGTTCTTTGCAGCTGAGACAGCTCCCACACTGTCCTTTTTCAGGCTTGGCTGGGGCGCTTGCCAAAAAGAACACACTTGACTTGCCAAGTCCCCAGCTTTTCGCCAGCTGATTCCGTGTGAAAAAATGCACATAATTTCCCATAATTTTTGATGACAGGGCGGGAGGGGGAGGGGCCATCTCCTTCTTTCCACGTCCTTGGTTGCTCTTCCTTCCCACCTAGAGAACCCAGCCCGGCGAACTAGTTTCCTTGGAAGTGTTCCGTGGAAAGATCTGATCTGAGATGTTTAGCAGCTTGAGAAGGGCTGCTCCATTTTTCTTTCATTGGTGGGGAGGGGAGAAAGTGTGGGGAGGGGGTAAAACCAGGACGCTGTGAATGGTCCTGCTGGCTACCTTCTGCCAAGGGGGAGACAGAACAGGCTTTGTTTTCAAACTTCTATGAGACGGATCTCTGCTTTCGTACACAATGAACAACTTCCTCTGGGATTGTTTGGTCATGTCTCCCTTTGTCTCCCTCTCGTTTGGCGCCTCCTTGTTTCATGTGATGCTCTTTGATGCATTTGCAACCTTGGCCCAGACCAGTGCCAAACTCAGCCAGCAAGTTGGCCGGGCCAATAAAGGAGGTCAGCTCTCAGGAGAAGAGAACATGCTTTGCAGTCAACAAGGACTCGGGCTCTATTGCTGGAACCTCCGGTTCAAAGAAGGGCTAGGGAAGACATGGGCCTGAGACCTGGAAGAGGGTCTCCAAAGCGGTGCCCGTGAGCATCAGTGTGGCCCCTCAGTAGCTCCCAGGGCATTCACAAAAGTCACCAGTGTGATGGAGCAGCAAACAAACAAACAAGCAAGCAAAGAAGCAAACAACTAATGCAATTCTAGGCTGCTTCAACAGAAGTCTAGTGTCCAGATCAAGGGAAATAATAGTACCACTCTATTCAGCCTTGATCAGACCACATCTGGAACACTGTGTCCAATTCTGGGTACCACAGTTTAAGAAGGATGGTGACAAGCTGGAACGTGTGCAGAGGAAGGTAACCAGGATGATCAAGAGTCTGGAAATGAAGCCTTATGAGGAACGGTTGAAGAAGCTGGGTATGTTTAGCCTGGAAAAGGGGAGACTGAGAGCAGATATGATAGCCACCTTCAAATATCTCAAGGGCTGTCACATGGAAGATGGAGCAAGCTTGCTTTCTTCTGCTGTGGAGGGTAGGACCTGAACTGATGGATTCAAGTTACCAGAAAGGAGATTCAGGTTAAACATTAGGAAGAATTTCCTGAGGACAAGAGCTTTTCAGCATTTAAAGGGTGTGTCTTTCCCCCAAAGCATCCTGGGAACTGCAGTTTGCCCCTCGCCAAATGGCAGCTCCCAGAAAACTGCAGTTCCCACAATTCTTTGGGGGCAGTTGGGTGCTTTAAAAGTATGGTATGTACACAGTCTGAGTTTCCAGCCTAAGTTTGTCCTAAAAGGACAGGTTATTGGAGACAGGGGTAGCAGCTGGCAAATGTAGGTCTAAAAAAATAGGGAGATGACCTGCCCCCCCAATAATGTATCCACCATCTCCTCTTGAGCACCGGGACTTGACTTATCACTGCCACAAAACTTTGCTTAAAAGTCCTGTCCCGTTGACCCTCAGGGACCAATAATGGCATTTTTGGAAGCTGCTCAGTTGCTCAGGCTGGAGGAATCCGGGCTGAGTCCCTACAGGGAACACTCTGTTCCCTGTTGCAGCCAAGGGAAGCTGTGTATCTTTCTTGAGATACCTCTCCCAGTGACCCCTTGCGCAGTCACCACTGCCGCCGCCACTATCAGCTCATTCCTGGCAGGCTCCTCAATGTGTGCTCTCCATGAGCATGGGAAGAGGGCCAAGACACACATGTCCTGCCTGCAGCTCTGCCCAAAGGAGGGAGTTCAGTCTTGGGGAGAGGATGCTGGCATCCAATGCTGCCCACTTCTTAGCAGGACACGGCCCTAAAATGCCCTAGGGAAAAAAACCCATCCATCACACTTTGGGCGATAGGCTCTAAAGTGGGCCGACCTTCTGGGCTCACTTTCCAGCAGCTCAATCACCAAAGTTTCCTGGGCAAAATTGATGGAACATTAAGACAACCTTGCAAAGAGTTGACCTCATTACAATAGACGCTCAGGTTGCGAATGTGATCCGTGCGGGATGCACGTTCGCAACCCGCAGCATCCGCAACCTGCAGCAGTGCATCTGCGCACGCGCGGGTTGCCATTTGGCGCCTCTGCACATGCGCAAAGCACGATTTAGCACTTCTGCACATGCACGACCGCCGAAACCCAGAAGTAACCCGTTCTGGTACTTCCGGGGTTTGGTGGTCCGTAACCCAAAAAAACACAACCTGAAGCGTCTGTAACCCGAGGTATGACTGTAGATTTGGAGTTGCAAATCAGTTTCACCATCAAGTTTTCCTTCAAATTTCCTTTTTCAAGGTGGGGAGGCATAGTGCACCTGAAGGTCAGTAAGCGAGTATCCTGATAGGCTGAAGTGTTTGAATGCTGTCATTGTCACGTGAAATCTAGATCAGTCTTGCTGAAATCAATGGTTTTACAGGCCAGTCCATCTGCTGTCCCAGTGCCCTGAAGGATATCACCTGCGAATGCACCTGCTATTTGTGGTGGCTACTGATGTTCACCTTTGACTGCCAGGCATCCTTCCAAGGTTAGGAAAACAGCAACACCTAAGCAACACCTAAGCAAGTGCAATGTGACAGGTGAGGCCAGAGCTGGGAGTGGCCACCGAGACCATATAACACCCGTCCTGAAAGATCTTCATTGGCTCTCAGTATGTTTCTGAGTACAATTCAAAGTGTTGGTGCTGACCTTTAAAGCCCTAAACGGCCTCAGCCCAGTATATCTGAAGGAGCGTCTCCACCCCCATCGTCCAGCCTGGACACTGAGGTCCAGCGCCGTGGGCCTTCTGGTGGTTCCCTCGCTGCGAGAAATGAGGTTACAGGGAACCAGGCAGAAGGCCTTCTCGGTAGTGGCGCCTGCCCTTGGAATGCCCTCCCAGCAGATGTCAAGGCAATAAACAACTATTTTACTTTTAAAAGACAACTGAAGGTGGCCCTGTTTAGGGAAGTTTTTAATGTCTGACACTGTATTGTTTTTAGTATTCAGTTGGAAGTTGCCCAGAGTAGCTGGGGAAACCCAGCCAGATGGGCGGGGTAGAAATAAATTATTATTATTATTATTATTATTATTATTATTATTATTATTATTTGCATTTGCTGTAAGTAGCCAGGAGTCATGGACTGGCTGGACACAGAGGAAAGGTGAGAGGAACCAGCTGGGGAACCACCAAGGGAAGAAACATAAGAGCCTGGGTTTTTGCGGTGGGAGAAGACTGGGAAGAGGAGATGCCAGAAGCTGAAGAGATAACAGGGCTCAGTGAGCTGGGAGAGTCTGTGGCAGACAGAAGACCAGGATCAGGGGCAGAAGATGAAGCAGTAGATGAAGGAGGCCAAGAGGCAGAGATGGGTCTGGCTGGTGAAGAGTCACGGGTGTCTCCCACTTCTGCTGCAACCTTCTCGAGGTGCAAGCCTGGGCAGTGTGTATGGAGGCCCTGGCTTGCCCAGACAACAAGACCCCGCTCTTGGTCTGGCTGATGTGGTCCAAAGGAAAGTAGAGCAAGACATTTGGCACCTGCTTGGCTGCACGAGTTGCTGGAAGGAGCCGTACAAGGAGCCATCTGTCAGGGAAGTGACATCGGAGCTAGAGGAGGAGGGAAGGCTCTCAAATGATGCTGGAGAAGGGCCCAGCAGGGAGAGAGGCAGCTCCGCAGATGGGGAAGCAAATCAGCGCTACACCAGGGATAAGGAGGGGCTGATGGGGGAATCGGCAAGAGGGCTCCAGGACTCTTCACTGGACACCAGCGGGGAGAGCACTGGTCCCCCGCTACCCACGCCCACCCTGCGCAGAAGACTTCCACGCATAGAGAGTAGGAGGAGACTGGGTGTCAAACAACTTTTATGTTGGAAAAGATTTAAGAAACGCCCACTGACGGATTCTGCTAGCGACTGAGGCAGCCACGAAGTGAAGGGCTGCCCAGACTGAAAGGTTTACCAAGGCAACAAAGCCTGGAGAGGCGGCAACTTACGCACGAGCAACCCATACTCATTATACCATCCAAGTGTCTTAGGAGCTCCACTCCAGATTTGTGTCGGGTTTACTCCTCAGCCGTTTCTTCTCCGGAAGATCTCCAACAAGGCAGAGGAGGTTTAGGATCAGAGTTTTCTTTCTCTTTGATGGGCTACCTTCCCAGGTTGATGAGCCCCATCGCCCCTCACTTCCCTCTATAGCAGCGGTTCTCAACCTGTGGGTCCCCAGATGTTGTTGGACTACAACTCCCATCATCCCTGAGCTCTGACCTTGCTAGCTAGGGGTGATGGGAGTTGTAGTTCAACATCTGACACGATACGATAATCTGTATTGTCATTGTCCCATACAGAACAATGCAATTGAAAAAATCTACATCAGACATTCAAAAACCAACAAGCCTGCTATCCCAGCCTGGTTAAAAAGGTAAAGGGTAAAGGGACCCCTGACCATTAGGTCCAGTCGTGACCAACTCTGGGGTTGCGGCGCTCATCTTGCTTTATTGACCGAGGGAGCCAGCGTTTGTCCATAGACAGCTTCCAGGTCATGTGGCCAGCAAGACTAAGCCACTTATGGCGAACCAGAGCAGCGCACCGAAACGCCGTTTACCTTCCCGCTGGAGCTGTACCTATTTATCTACTTGCACTTTGACGTGCTTTTGAACTGCTAGGTTGGCAGGAGCTGGGACCGAGCAACGGGAGCTCACCCCATCGCGGGGATTCGAACTGCTGACCTTCTGATCGGCAAGTCCTAGGCTCTGTGGTTTAACCCACAGTGCTACCCACGTCCCCAGCCCCCTAAAAACTCTGATACCCCATAATTAAATACAATATACTCCCATAGAGACTACCTTACACTGCGTTTAAAAACAAAATCACATTTGAATAGAAACTGTTTCTCATTCGGCTAGTCCTAGTCTTTATAACCCTGTACCTTCTTCCAGAAGGCAGAAGCTGAAAGAGATCATTTCCGGGGTGCGAACTATCCTGTGCTATCTCTGCAGCTTTCTTATGGCACCTGGCAGCTTATATTTGATCCAAGGTGGGAAGAGTGCACCCAATTATTCTCTCCGCAGTCTTTACAACCCTGGACAGCATTGTTTTTCCCCTGACCTTGCAGCTTGCAAACCACACACACAGACCATAAATTAATACAGTCTCAACAGTACAATGCTAAAATGCCATCAACAGGTCCTTTGAGAGATTGTTTTTCTGGAGGATTCTCAGAAAATATAACCTCTGCTGTGCTCTCTTCATCAGGTCTTTGCTGTTTTCTCCCCAGGTTAGGTCATCTCTGAACTCCATTCTCAGAAATCGAAACACAATCTGGGGACCTAAGGGTGAGAAAGGCTGCTCTATAGTGCATGCAGCAGCTGCATTCTTGACCATTGGACCCCCTATCAGTCTCATCTGCTCAATCCACCAGAGGCAGTAATGCTTCTGAATACCAGTTTCTGGAAACTGCAGGAGAGGAGGGTGTTCCTGAACTCAGTTCCTGCTTTTGGGTTTCCCTCTTGGGGCATCTGGTTGGCCACTGTGAGAGCAGAATGCTTGAGTAGGCAGGCCACGATCCAGAGGACTCTTATTCTCTTAAGCAAACATTGCCGGTGGATTCTTTTCTTTTTAAGTTAGGTTTTATGGCCCTCTTCGTTTTAAAATCTGTGTTTTAACTGTATTTTTAGTTTTAATAGTTTTTTTCATTGTTTTAGATTGCATTTTAATTACTTGGTGAACCACGCAGCGAACTCAGAGGCGGACGTATAAATTCAGCTCATAAAACAAGTTATTGCACGATTGCTGATTGGCTGGATTTGATACCCAGAAAAGGGAGTCTTGTAATTAGAAGCACAAATAAAGCATTCCAGCATCAGCAAATGGTGAGAATGCTCTCAGAAGCAAGACCTTTGAGAAATGACAGTGGAACGGATTTTCTTGGAAGGTGGTGTACTCTCCTTCCTTGGAGGTTTTTCAGCAGAGGTTGCGTGGCCATCTGTCAGGGATGCTTTAGCCGAGATTCCTGCATCACAGGGGGTTGGACTGGATGACTCTTGGGGTACCTTCCAACTCTACGATTCTATGACTCTGGGAAGCAGCTCCTACCAACCAAAATCAGTGGAAACAAAGGATACAGAAAGCTCGGTGAGAGAGCTGCCTCTAGTGTGTTCTGTGGTTAATCCGTCTTCAGCACCACTTTGCTCTTCTGAACAAACATCACATCTGACATATGGCGATGCTTCGCATGCTCCTTTTTCAAATATGCCTCGTGTGGGATGAGGTGGGTGGGAAGCTGAACTTCTCAGCCTGGGATCTGGCCACTTTGAACAACCTACAAACAGTTCCGTTGAAAATAAGTTCTAAAATGTGGATAACCACTAGAAGAGTGTCCAGAATGCGGCAGCTAGACTGGTGACTGGGAGACAATATAACACCGGTCCTGAAAGATCTTCATTGGCTCCCAGTACGTTTCTGAGCACAATTCAAAGTGTTGGTGCTGACCTTTAAAGCCCTAAACGGTATAGCTGTCAACTTTCAGATTTGAAAATAAGGGATCAGCAGCCTCACCTGTCCCGGGGACAGTCTACAGGATATCTAACAATCTGGGATAGCAGTGGGAAGCAGTGAGAAACGGCGCTGGAATAAGGGAATTTCCCGCAAAAAAAGGGAAGGTTGACAGCTATGCTAAACGGCCTTAGCCCAGTATACCTGAAGGAGCGTCTCCACCCCCATTGTTCAGCCTGGACACTGAGGTCCAGTGCCGAGGGCCTTCTGGCGATTCCCTTGCTGCGAGAAGTGAGGTTACAGAGAACCAGGCAGAGCGCCTTCTCAGTGGTGGCACCTGCCCTGTGGAATGCCCTCCCAGCAGATGTCAAGGCAATTAACAACTATTTTACTTTTAGAAGACAACTGAATGCGGCCCTGTTTAGGGAAGGTTTTAATGTCTGATGCTGTATTGTTTTTAATATTCGGTTGGAAGCCACCCAGAGTGGCTGGGGAAACCCAGTCAAATGGGCAGGGTATAAATAAATCATCATCATCATCATCATTATTATAGCAAACCTTCATGCTGGGACCTGGTTTCCCAGGTTGCAAGACAGGAGATTGCGACTCAACATCAGGAAGAACTTTCTGACCATAAGAGCTGTTTGACAGTGGAATGGTCTCCCTCCAGAGGTTGTGGACTCTCCTTCATTTGAGGTTTTTAAGTAGAGGTTGGATGGCCATCTGGCATGGACGCTTTAGCTGAGATTCCTGCCTTGCAGGGTGTTGGAATGGATGATCCTTGGGTCCCTTCCAATTCTATAACTCTGTGATTCTGCCAGGGCTTGCTGTGGAATCAGCTGATCAGTGCTGACAGCAAGCCATGCTTGCTAATCACACTTCAAGGCCTCCTGTGCAGCTGTATCTCTATCTCGTCACAGCTAAAAAATTATTTAATGCTAAAAGAACTAAGTCAGCATGAGTCTGCGGCCTACAATGACTCATGCAACCTTTCACCAAATTTTACCTGTATATATAGAGTGGTCAATGTTAGTGTTGCGTGTGGGTTGGTTGGATGGTAGAAAGCTGGTTGCGTTTGATATGTATAAAGAACAAGAAGAAGAGATTGGATTTGATATCCCGCTTTATCACTACCCTAAGGAGTCTCAAAGCAGCTAACTATCTCCTTTTCCCTTCTTCCCCCACAACAAACACTCTGTGAGGTGAGTGAGGCTGAGAGACTTCAGAGAAGTGTGACCAACCCAAGGTCACCCAGCAGTTGCATGTAGAGGAGTGGGGAATCAAACCCGGTTGACCAGATTACGAGTCTACTGTTCTTAACTACTACACCACACTGGATCTCTGGACAAAGCTGTCGGTCACGGTTGAAGAAGAAGACTTTTAAAGAATAAAAGCAGCAATACTCTGCAAGAACACTCTTTCTCAAAGACTCTTTTGTGCCAACTAAGGTCTGAGGACTAGGCAAAGGAGTAAAAAGGAGGTCAGAACCTTTTCTTTTTCAAACACTGACATATCTGTCCAACACAACCTCACATACAACATTGGGTGTGTCAGGTCTAATTTGACCCGCATGTCAGAGGTTCACTTCCCCTGGCTAACTGCGACAAGAATATCTAGCAGAGCCACATCATTTTATTTTATTTTTGAGATGGGAAGCTCTGTAATAGCTAATGGCCATTATAGCTCCTTATTCTGAAACGGAACTATTTTCATTTGTTATGGTAAGGAAAATAAATTTCCACAGAGCAGCTTAACATGCATTATGCTGGGATTTAAAACAGCTTATTGGATGCCGTTCTTTGCTGTCTCCAATATACTTTCCCCTCTTCCAGACACAAAATTTTGCCTTAACAACAAATGTGGGAAAACTCTGGTTCATGATGCATTTTCCATGTATTCTGGAAGAGCTCCTGCAATATGAACAAGAGGCAACGATCCTAGTATTGGATGCCTCCCTGTTGAATTAGTTGAGCATGTTTGCACAGTGCGGCTTGTGTTAAGCACACTGAACACAGATGCCCAATAGCACCTTCCTTTGAATAGACAATTCTGTGGTTTATCTTGCATATTTTATAGGACCACAATTGTACGTGTGTCTAGTCATACAAAGTCCCTTTGAGTTCAGTGTGGACTATTTATTAATAATATAAGAAATATTAATGTGGATGGCGCTGTGGGTTAAACCACAGAGCCTAGGGCTTGCCAATCAGAAGGTCAGCTGTTCAAATCCCCATGATGGGGTGAGCACCCGTTGCTCTGTCCCTGCTCCTGCCCACCTAGCAGTTTGAAAGCACGCCAAAGTGCAAGTAGATAAATAGGTACCACTCCGGCGGGAAGGTAAATGGTATTTCCGTGCACTGCTCTGGTTTGTCAGAAGCGACTTAGTCATGCTGGCCACATGACCAGGAAGCTGTATGCCGGCTCCCTCGGCCAGTAAAGCGAGATGAGCGCCGCAACCCCAGAGTCGGCCACGACTGGACCTAATAGTCAGGGGTCCCTTTACCTTTTTATCATAAATATTTACTTGTTGCCTTCTTGTGCTAAGGCGCTTCAAAGCGATTTCCACAATTAAACATGTAAATAACAAAGACATTAAAACCAGATCCAAAACCAGCAAGAAACAGGAGCTGAAATATGTGTCCAAAAATATGATTCAGAAGACAAATCCTACCCACCTTACTTAAAGGATGAGTGCAACAAAGGCCGCTGACACAACTAACTACCCTCCCAATTAAAAAAAATCAAAGCCCTGTGTGAATAAACACATTTTTGCCTGCCACCTAAAACCTGACAATGAGGGTGCCAAGCATGCTTCTCTGGGGTGAGCATTCCACAAATGGGGAGCCACCACTGAGAAGACCCAATCTAGTGTCGCCATCCCCCTCAGAGAGGACACACGGAGAATGGACTCAGGGGATAAAAGCAGCATCTGGCTTGGTTCCTGTGGGGAGAGGGAAGTGGGTGTGGATACTGATATGGGAACAAAACTCATGGGACCCAGTGGGACTTACTTCTGAGTAAGTTTGTATGGGATTGCATTGCTAGAACAAGCAACTAAGGAAACGCATTGAATTGGCTGTTGAATCAGGCAATGTATTTTTTAAAAAAATTGAAATTCTTTAATATAGAAGTGTTTGTAAAAACTGCTTGTGCTATGATATCTCTCTCTCTCACTCTCTGTACATGAAACAAAGTCTGCTCCTCTGCTTCAGAATCAGTATATTATGCAATTTATCCCCCCACTTCAGAACCAGTGTTTATGCATAAATTGCATAACCAATTTATGCAAATGCCATCGCTTAATGAATCTATTAATACTAATCTGCTTCATTAACTGAGATGTCTCCAATTGAGCGAGAGCCCTGATAATTTATGCTACTTTTTGCTAATCCCAGGAATGGGCTGTGAATAATGAAGACCCATCCATCCCTCTTCAGTCATTTGAAATCTTATCTGGCCACCTCCTGGCTTTGGGGATTTCAGCTGAGGTCGCCCACACACCTTCAAGCCAATATTTGCATCCGTAAGAGCTAGACTATTATTGGTTTTTTAATCGAAAGCTGAGATTCTCACGAAGCTGAATTCCATGCTCAATATCACATCCCGAGCTCTTTCTGCGTTTCTGAGGAACCGCGGAACCTGCGCAGCCCTGGCAATCTGAAAATTTCCTCATCCAGGTCACCAAAGCAAGGTTGACAGAGCAAATCCGATCCCAGTTCTCTTATTTGACATGCTGTCCGCTGCTTGATTAAGCCTTGAATTTCCCCTTGAATTTCTCATTACGTGTCTCGTGTGGTGTCTGTAATTAAGACAGAGTGCAACTTAGCAAACACAGACTAATTTCCAGTCCGCCATCTTTCTGCAGGCTGTCATGCAGGTCGTCTGCACGATGTAAAATATTTCCCCTCGAAAAATTCAGGGACCTGCAATTATCTTTCCTTTTCCTTTCCTTTAAAAAAAAGAAGGAGTTGAAACATACTCACAGACTGAATGAACAACCTTCATGCGACTGCCAGCCGCTAAGGAGGTAGAACAATGGCTGCACTTTGAAAAGTAATATTTTTAAAAGGGGAGATAAAGGTTCCCCGTCTGGCATTTTCAGGTTAACACAAAGGGGAAACGCAATCCCGAAAATCTGGAAGAACCTCAAATAACAATGAGGCAAACGGTTGCAGAGGTTTAAGGTTGGACTGCTTGTCAAGAATATTTCTTGAAAGAGCTTTAGTTGGGCAGCCCATTGGATGGGGGCTTTCCTTTCCTTTGCAATCACCCACCGACATGCTGATATTATCTGCCACATTCAATTGGAAGTGTGGGTGACTGCAGATTCCACAGGTGTCCAAGTGGCTAATGGCTTCTTTCAAACCATTGCCATCAAAGGCGCAGGGCAGACAAGCCAGTTGTGTTCTGAGCTTGGCCAGACCTGTGGAGGCCTGAGGTGCACATGAAGTGGTACAGTCCTGTTTGAGTGGGGATGTACCATTTTTTAGGTAGCAGGTGAGCAATACCACCGCACCCCAACACAGACCCTTCAAGTGTTCCTATTTTCCAGGGATGTCCCTGATTTAGAGAAGCCGTCCCAGTTTCTGATTTGATCCCGGAATGCCCCACTTTTCCTTAGGATGTGCCTCTTTTCATTGGAGAAATGCTGGGCACTGAGGTCCAGCGCTGAGGGCCTTCTGGTGGTTCCCTCACTACGAGAAGCCAAGTTACAGGGAACCAGGCGGAGGGCCTTCTCGGTGGTGGCACCCGCCCTGTGGAACGCCCTCCCACCAGATGTCAAAGAGAACAACAACTACCAGACTTTTAGAAGACATCTGAAGGCAGCCCTATTTAGGGGAGCTTTTAATGTTTGATGCATTACTGTATTTTGTTGAAAGCCGCCCAGAGTGGCTGGGGAAGCCCAGCCAGATGGGGGGTATAAATAAATTATTATTATTATTATTATTATTAGAGGGTATGGAGTTATCTGAACCCCCGAGGCATCTGAAGGGAATCCTGTATAGAGAAGATTTTTTAAAAAAAGTTTAATGTTTTATTTTGTTTTTATATGTGTTGGGTGCTGCCCAGAGTGGCTGGGGCAACCCTGTCAGATGTGTAGCGTATAAATAGTAAAATTATTATATGGAATGGGATGACTGTATTTTCATCGGACAAATGTTGGAAGGTATCCCAACACATAAACAGGAACCACCCTTCCTTTTAAGTCAAAAATTAGTATGTCCAGAAGAATGGACTGAAAGCTTTTCTCTGGATGTATTATTATTATTATTATTATTATTATTATTATTATTATTATTATTTAAGTTGATGATGGTTATGATTTTATTATTTATACCCCGCCCATCTGGCTGGGTTTCCCCATCCACTCTGGGCGGCTTACAGAACATAAAAAATCGTAAAATGTACATAGCTGTCATACACAGGTTGACTGCAATTATTGATGGAAAACCCACTCTTCATGGATATATCAGAACAAATGGCAGCCTGGGGAAAACCCAAATTCCTGTTAGTAACGATCAAGCACTAAAGAGCAGTTTTTTCCAGGAGGGTGGCGGAAGCAGCAGAACAAGGAGAGGTGTGGATAAGCTAGTCTGTATATACATATTTTTTTATTGTGTTTTTATTGTGAAATCACTTTGCAGGGAGATGTTTAAATACAGTGACCACTATGTGGGGAACATTTCATATTGCAGTAGCCAATGGTTATGAACAAACAACTTGACATGACTCTCGATGTGCATATTAAATAAGAATTCTCCACTGCATCACTGCTGGAGGGGTGTGTGTGTTTGTGTTTGTGTGTGTGTGTGTGTGTGTGTTATTTTCAAATGCCCAGTGTAGGAAAGCAAAGCAAATTAGCTGCAAAAGAAAATGAGCATGAGAGTGTAAAAGTCAACCCAAACCCAACATTTCTCCAATGAAAACACAGATATCCTATTCCATACCCTCCAACATTTCTCTGCTGAGAATAGGGACGTCCTAAGGAAAAGTGGGACATTCTGGGATCAAATCAGAAACTGGAATGGCTTCTGTAAATCCAGGACCGTCCCTGGAAAATATGGACACCAGGAGGGTCTGCTAATTTTCTCCTTGCAGGGAGCTTTTGTGCAAATGCAGCCACCTCCATCTGAAGTAGGATTGTCTGTTCATGTTATCCATGTTAGGCCCATACCACCTCATTCTGCATCACGAGTAGATGCCACCTTAGACAGGTCAGGCCCAGGGCTTAGGACAACACAGCAGAGATAAGACTATGTAGCATGATCAAATAGGACTTAGATGGGAGGTTTGGGGTCTCCCTCCACCCCCAAATCTACCTTTAGGGCACCTTCAACCAAGTACGTTTTCTACCCCTCCCCTTAGGAGAAGAGTTCTGTTAATGTCCGCTCAACAGTGACACCTAGCAAGGCACAAATGGCACAAATGAATGAAATAGGACTTTCTCCCCAATTACTGTTTCCCTGTGCCATTTGACCCAGTCACCATGGCGATCGCATCCATTGGGGAAAGGCGAGGCGATGACTCACCCTAAATGGCTTCTTGGAGCCACAACATCAAAACGGAGCAATCTTTAAATCTTCCGTCTGCCCCAACAAGCAGAAGTCGGGAGATTTCCTATGGAGACGTCGACAGCTTTAAAAGGCCTCTGCGCTTTGTGTTTTCATATTTCTTCCCTTGATTGACAGGGCTATTTTAATAAGGCTGAACTCAGAGAAGGCCACTCGTCAGAAAAAAACGTTAGGCCCTATTAAGGAACTCGACTCAAAGGAATGAGGCACCCACACAAAGTGAGCAATTTAGGGTCCCCAAGTAAATAGCAAATGTGCGTAGTTGTGTCCGTGTGGCATAATTCCCATACCCAGTGCCATTTTTTCCAGAAAAAATGTGCCGGTACTCACCAGCTAGCAGCAAGCTTGTTGCGTGAATCATGCTCCAAGTATTTAAAGCTGTTCCAGTAAGAGATCACTGCTACATTTATGATAGCAAATCCTATGTGTGGGCAAAAAACAAAAGAAGCCCCACGTTCTTTTACCTGTCCTAATTTTCCCAGCGCACAGAACATTGGATGGGCCAATGCGTTATGCAAGAGAGAAGATGATGATCCAGAACGAGAACACAGATTTGGTTAAAATTTGCATTTATGTGTATAGGTGCAATAATTTAAATAGACGTGCAGTCTGTCTCCACCTGCCAACTGCTGAAAAGTAGCAGCAAGGCCTCCGCTCCCTCTCCTACTTCATTTTTAAGCTCAGTTTGGAGCGGAAAGCCTTGAAAGAGAGGTTCCTTTGAAGAGTGGACTGCCAGATAGCAGACTGCATACCCTCCAACATTTCTCTGGTGTAAATAGGGACACCCTATTCCATCCCCTCCAACTTTTCTCTGGTGTAAATAGGCAACCCAGTCAGATGGATGGCCAATTAATAATAATAATAATAATAATACGAATATGAATATGAATACGAACACTAATACTAAAACAGTGGTACCTCAGGTTACATACGCTTCAGGTTACAGACTCCACTAACCCAGAAATAGTACCTCGGGTTAAGAACTTTGCTTCAGGATGAGAACAGAAATTGTGCTCCGGCGGCGTGGCAGCAGCAGGAGGCCCCATTAGCTAAAGTGGTGCTTCAGGTTAAGAACAGTTTCAGGTTAAGTACGGACCTCCAGAACGAATTAAGTACTTAACCCGAGGTACCACTGTAGACTGGTGTTTTAATTGCGGCAAAAGCTTTTGTGGCCTTCAGTTGACTCTAGTTCATGAAAGCTTATGCCAGCCCTGTGCTGACTGGAAGCTGATGGGCGATGTAATCCAAAAGCAGGAACCATGTTAGGGGGAGATTGCTTAATACTTTAATGTGCCCCAAAATTCCATGTTTTTTTTTCCATAAGAAGATCACTGTCCAACATTCTTAAAGGTACAAGTTGTCTGTCTGGAAAATGGCTTCACTTCTGAGCAAATCAAGTTCATGCCCAAAGAAGGTAAGTTGTACGAGAAGCTACTACATACTGCACAAAGAAATTTTTACAAAATACTATTTTTTTTCTGGTTTTGGAAGAACTTATCCATGTCCAGAGACTTATTCACTTCCTAGCAAGGTCCTTTTCAAGAGACAAGGTGCAGGAAGAATTTAGACACTCTTTTGCGGACCGGCCAACAGATAGTCTTGGCAGCACCTGTGCAACAGACTCTCTATTGTTGTGGTGGTAGAAATGAAGATGAGAAAAAATTGATCCATTTGACTCAAATCAGATTGGCTGGACCCAATTTTTTAAGCAACATGGACTAGGTGGGATTTGGGGCCGTGAAGCTACAGCTTCCTTGATTTCATAGTCAATCTGTAGCTCAGGACACTAGGCAGTCAATTGTGACACCAGTCAGGTCTGATTCTTCACTTGGAGTTACGTTGTCAAACAGCTCTTACCATCAGAAAGTTAATCCAGATGTTGAGTTGGAATCTCCTTTCTTGTAACTTGAAGCCTTCGGTTCAAGTCCTACCTTCCAGAGGAGGAAAAACAAGCTTGTTCTGTCTTCTTTGTGATAGCCCTTGAGATATTTGAAGATGGCTATCATATCTCCTCTCAGTCTCCTCTTGTTGTTGTTTGTTGTTTAGTCATTTAGTCGTGTCCAACTCTTCGTGACCCCATGGACCAGAGCACGCCAGGCACTCCTGTCTTTCACTGCCTCCTGCAGTTTGGTCAAACTCATGCTGGTAGCTTTGAGAACACTGTCCCACCATCTCGTCCTCTGTCATCCCCTTCTCCTTCTGCCCTCCATCTTTCCCAGCATCAGGGTCTTTTCCAGGGAGTCTTCTCTTCTCATGAGGTGGCCAAAGTACTGGAGCCTCAGCTTTAGGATCTGTCCTTCCAGTGAGCACTCAGGGCTGATTTCCTTAAGAATGGATAGGTTTGATCTTCTTGCAGTCCATGGGAGTCTCATCTTTTCCAGGCTAAACATACCCAACTCCTTCAACCATTCCTCATACGGCTTGGTTTCCAGCCCCTTGATCATCTTGGTCACCCTCCTCTGCACACTTCTGCAATTGTGGTACCCAGAATTGGACAAAGTATTCTAGGTGTGGTCTGACCAAAGCAGAATAGAGTGGAACTATTATTACTTCCCTTGATCTGGACTCTAGACTTCTGTTGATGCAGTCTAGAGTAGCATTTCCTTTTCCTGCTGCATCACACTATTGACTCACGCTGAGCTTGTGATCAAGGGCTGGGAGAACTGGCCAGGGGATCTATTCACCAAGAGGGTATGAAAGCAACTTTGGGCCTGTGGAGGAATATCAACTCCAACTGCAGAGCTTAAGCGTTTCAGCTGGACCCGGCGGGCAGTGCCAGTGTAATAATGGGCTCCCATTCTAAGTCCTTTTCCTGAATAGCTGCCAAGTAAAGGGTTGAAGAGGCTGGTGGGCGGGGGGGGGGGAGCACGACATCAAAGCCATCTGCTACAGCAATGGAAAAGGCAAGCATACTGTTAGCAAAAAGGACTGAATGCGAAGCAGCAGATCTGATGCCATTACATAAATTTATGACACAGCCCACACGCGGATGCCACGAGCAGTTCTGTTTGCAAAAGGCTCTCGAAAAAGGATGTTGCTTCGCAGCCCTGGAAGAGGTTCCGGAAAGGGCAGAGGAAAGGAGAGAGAGCTTTTGGTACACATTTCCTAATAGGGAACGGCAAAAAGGCATTTGCATTTGGAGGGGGGGGGAGTGTAAAGAAAAGATAAGTGTGGGGGTCACACTCTGTGAATCAGGGCAGAGTGCGGCTCAAAGGAAATCTTCCATTTGCTCCTCAAAGTAGGACGTGAAAGCGAATCGGGACAGTCAAAGGGAGGGCTATTGCTCACATCACATTTTGCTGGGAAAGTATAGCATTAAGAAGTACAGTGGTTGGAGTGTCAGGCTAGGACCTTGGGAGGCCAAGGGTTCGAATCCCCACTCGGCAAAGAAGCTTACTAGGTGACCTTCGGCTGCTCACTGCCTTTCAGCCTAACCTACCTCACAGGGTTGTTTGTTGTGGCAATTAAATGAGGAGGGTGGAGGAATATACCATGTATGCTGCCTGGAGCTCCGTGGGAGAAAAGGTGGGATATAAAATGCAAGAAATAAATAACTGCCTGCAGAATAGCTGCCATTCAGCATGGACTAGCCTTCTTCTCCAGCTGCTTTGGGCTACAATGCTGGATTTGCTGGGGCTGATGGGCGTTGTGGTGCAAAGGACCACATGAAGGTTAGGGAAATCTGTGGTGAAGTTCATGGCATGTAACCTGCAGCAGCCCCCCCTGTTGGCTATTTGCAGTTTAGTAGCGCTGCAGAGAGCTTGCTGGGGAGACCATGCATTAAAAAGGGACTCAAAAATAACTTAAACAAGGTTTTAATAACAAAAACAAAAACTCCTTATACACTAAATACATCAACAACAAACCAGACCTAACCACCAACCCATCCCCCAGGGTAATGGGAGAGCTAGGTGCTGCTCCTTATATACAACACCCAATTGCCAACACAGCTTAATTAACACAACCTAGCAGCACCTGCTATGTTACACAGTTGCAAGACTGGGTCTCGTTATCTGCCCTGGCCCTTAAAGACATACACAACTTGTGAAGCAATAATGAACCTTCACATTATAAAGTGACCATTCAACACCCCCATGGTGTGGATACCAACCCCCCACCAGGCCCAATGGTCTAGTTCAACAACACCTGAAGGTCAACAAGCAGAAAGCAATGCTGAACTAGATTAGGGCGGCCAAACATCCAGGTTTTCCCAGCTATGTCTTGGAATCACTCAGAAAAATACGTACAACAAGAAGTAGGACTATTTTTTTTAATAAAAAAAGTTCTGGAAAAATAAAACAGATCAAATCAAATGAAAAGATGCCCCACCCGAAAAGCTCAACAACTCTGTCCGGGTTTTCACTTTTGGGAATATGGCAACCGTAACTAGATGGACTTGGTCAAATGCAGATTCCTCTGTTTCTACAAGGACACTTATTGATTCAACTAAGCTTTAGTTTTTAGACATCAAGGCCACAAAATGTTGTGATGATCGCTATGCGGGCAGCTTTTTAAATGACTTGATAAATCTGTGGAGGGGGAGTAGATCACCGTTCTGTGCAATCTGTCTTTGCATGCAATATACCCTGTACTGTAGTTGCCTGGGGTCACAGGGGGTCGAAGACCCACTCCCAGGGCTTTTCCTTTTTCAGCCAGAGCTCACTAGAGCTCAGCTCTGGCCCATCTCAGTTGGGCGCCATTGCCATTCTAAGAGAACCAGGGTGAAGTTCATGGTGAGGTCCCTGCTCTTTTCATTTCCTGCATGTGAACTTTCTGGCGGCATCTGCCTTGATCCAGGATGCAGGACTAGGTAGACAAGGGTAGGCAAACTAAGGCCCAGGGGCCTTCTAAATCTGGCCCGCAGATGGTGCAGGAATCAGTGTGCTTTTACATGAGTAGAATGTGTGCTTTTATTTAAAATCCACCTCTGGGTTATTTGTGGGGCATAAGAATTCGTTCATTTCCTCCTTCCAAATATAGTCCAGCCCCCCACAAGGTCTGAGGGACAGTGGACCGGCCCCCTGCTGAAAAAGTTTGCTGACCCCTGAGGTAGACCTTGTATCTCATGGGTAGGCAACCTAAGGCCCGGGGGCCAGATCTGGCCCAATCGCCTTCTAAATCCGGCCCATGGATGGTCTGGGAATCAGCATGTATTTACATGAGTAGAATGTGAGAATGTGTCCTTTTATTTACAATGCATCTCTGGGTTATTTGTGGGGCCTGCCTGGTGTTTTTACATGAGTATAACGTGTCCTTTTATTTAAAATGCATCTCTGGGTTATTTGTGGGGCATAGGAATTCATTCACCTCCCCCCCAAAATATAGTCTGGCCCCCCACAAGGTCTGAGGGACAATGGACCAGCCCCCTGCTGAAAAAGTTTGCTGACCCCTGAGGTAGACCTTGTATCTCAACCAGTAGGGTTCTTCTTATATTCTTAGAACAGCAGGTAGGGAACCATTTCGAGTCATCAGACCAGATATTCAGCTCCTTTCCTTAGGCTTTGTTCCTTCTCCTCCACTCCCTTCACCCCCCTGAAGTTGGCTCAGGGAAGAGGGAGAATTAGGGAGAAAGACCCACACTTCCCAAATCAATATGTGAAGTTCACCCTTCTCTGAATTTTGCGGTGCAGTTATCCAACCAAAGGATGTGTGCAAAAATACATGTGTTAATCAAAAGCAGTGCTTTTTCTTTTCTTTTCTAAAAAAACCAAACACTTATGGGGTACTCTCATTTTGACTCAAGAAAATCACCATTTTATAGTTCAAATCAGGAAAAATAAATACAGTAAATGGACAAAAGTAGGAAGATTCACAAAATGTTTAGGGGCACGCGTCCCCCTGTGTCCCCCCAGGAAAAAAAGCACTGGTCAAAAGTGTATCCAAAGTGCATTTTCAGTTGAGAGAAATAGACAAGAAAATGCACGCACTTTCGTGAAAGTTCTTCTCGTATAAAAACATTGCAAACGGATGCAGAAATTGAGCACATTGAACTTAACAAATGAGGAACTGAAATTTGACCCAGGAGAAAAACGGCCAGCAAAGTTTGCTTACGAAAGCAAATGGAGCTACGTTTTCTAAGAAGATTCAGAGCTCTCCTCTTTTGCTAAGACCTGGGCTTTGGATTCTGTTGCTATCATCTAGTCTGGACAGCTGACCACACCAGTCTAAGAGACTGAGTCAGATTATCTCACCTCTCCTAGCTATGCAAGGATTTCACACAGCCGTGGGCTAAGATTGACTTTTGCCTGCCAGTTATCCTTAGATACGAGTCTCCTATCGGCACATTCTTCCTCTCCTCAATTCTGGCATAAGAAAGGGCTTCGGGGAGACTGCTATCTTTGAGAAAAAATCTGGAGCAATTTCAAAACCCCAAACCAGAAGATTTTTTTACCTTGATCACTGGTCTTGACATTTGAAAGGCTGGAAAACATAAAGCGTATTTTGATTGGGGCCAGTCGCACCTGGGCAATTGTAATTACAAGTTTTGAGAACTTTCCTTGACACTCTAATTGGGCATGTTTGGTCTGCAAATGTCAGCAGCTGCTTCTACTCCCTTCCACAGGACTGTGAAAGGCTGAGGATCAAGCACTGCTCTATCTCCTGTTTCTGAACTCAGTCAGACTGTATGGGGGCTTTGCACATGCATGCACATCTCTTGCCCTGAGTGTGCATGTGTACTTGTGGCGCTTATGGTAAATTCTGTAATTCCTTGCAAGTAGAAAGCTAGCAGGTCAAGGAGAAGGCGAGATTAGAACTCTCTTCTGTAAAATGCTAGAATTCTATTTGCACGTGAGCACACACACACAAGCATCCAGTCACATCAACTGCAGTCTGAAGCAGGATAGACCAGCCCAAATGAGAACTAGACTATAGGCATCCAACTCATAACCTAAGCTGAAAGGATCGGGTTGCTGATGGAAGAGGCCTCTTGCAAACTGTTATGGAAATGTGGCATACGGACAGGAAAAATGAGAAACTCAGAGAAAATGAAACCGACACCCTCGCCCATTCCCAGATCAGGAGGATGGAGGAGAAATTTGGTGCAGTTCACGTTTGAAGGTGAACGTAACAATTCAAAAGAAAATGCAAACTGAAACACAGCCACCCTTTGAAATCTGCACAAATTTTGCGATACAGTTCTCTAGCTAAGTAACGTGTACAAGAAAGAATATGCAGAAATCCATCATCTTACATGGGTCTAAGGGGTCACACACAAACATGAAAGTCATGCACAGTTAGGGTTGCCATATGGGATTTCAAAACGATTTTTGGCATTTATGTAAAAGCTCAACAACTTTTGGGGTGTGCTGGTTATTACTTTTTGAAATATGTCAACCCCAGTATAGTCAAACCTTCAGAGCCACCCCATAGCTCATGGGGTGATTGGTTGGGGGAGAGTATCCCTAGCAACCCCAGAGCCCGTGCTGTGCCAGGGGTGGGGAACCTCTGGCCAAATCAGGGTCACCAGGCCATTTTGGCCCAGCCCCGTACACCTGCCCTATGCTTGATGTCATATATGGGGCAAGTAAAGTCACAGCTGGGCCCCAGAGGGAGTTGCAGACCTTGCAGATCAGCTGATAAGTGGAGCCTGCAAAGGTGCTTTGAAGCCCCGACTCTTTGGTGATTGCCAGGGCTTCAAAGGACAGTGTGGGGGTCTTTGCAAGCACCAGTAATAAGGTGGTCCGATCCATTTCCCCATTCCTACTCTGTGCCCACCTAGTTCTGAATGGCTCTTTCCACATGCTCAGAACCACTAGCTGCTCTGTGCAATTAAACGCTGACCTCCCATGATGTGCATTTGAATAAAACATATTGGGTCGGTCAATCCCTTTTTCTTTTTCTTTTTAGAAAAGCCTTCAAAATTTAAAGACGTTTCTATTCTTATTTCTGACTCACAGCTCTTGAACGACGAGCAATGCCCCGTACGGCTGAAAGGAACGACTCTCCTTTGTCTCCGCATTCTGACCCAAAGCCAGCAACCCTCCCTCCGAAACCGCATCATATTTCCAATGGGAAAGCAGATCAAAGGCTAAAAACGGTAATGCAAAGGAGGCACTTTCCAAAACATCCCGTCCGGTCTTGTTATCGAAGTGGGCTGGCGCTGTGCCTGCTCCGCTTGCCAGCCACCCTCTTAAGCTGTATGATAATTCTCTCGGAAAAAGACCCCGCGAGCAGAAATACCAAAGAGCTCGGGGAACCTGCCTAAAGCAGATTGTTCCAGAGTAGTGGAGCAGAACCCCAGGCCCGGGTCCAAATGCAGCTCTCCAGGCCTATTTGTGTAGACAGGCAGAGTCCCCCAAACCCTGGGCGGCCCCCGTGTGGAATAACGACTCAACACAACGTGCCATGGGATTACAATTGGCTACAACTTTGCACTGCTAGGTCCCCAGGACCCACCCCCTGAAAATAACTTCACATGGACACTTATTTTAGTTTTAAGTTTTTGGGCAAATTTTGGCCACAACTTTATGGAAATACAATCATGTGAGCGGTATTGGCTTAGGCATTGACTTCCCACTATGACTGACTCCACCTCTCAGGGTGATCGTCCAATGGGGTAAATCAAACGAAGGGGCTAGGTTGATGAGGACCAACCTAAGCTCACCCTGGGGTCCCTGTGGTCCTGGCATGGCCCTAGCCCCTCAAGCGGACTTCGGACGAGATCCAGGACCCCCAGATTCCTTTAACGGAATACCCAGTTCCTGGAGGGGCAGGTGATGGCCGCACCTCCCCTCCCCACAATCCAACTGAGCGACTGCCTAACCGCCACCTTACAAGTTGTAGACGATTTGCTAAGGGGTAGGCGAAAACCAAGTGGCTACAGCCAATTTGCCAAATGGAAAAATTCATACCCAGCCCCTGTTCCAAAACAGGCGACCTCAACCAAAGCAAGGTCAAGCGACACTGCTTAATTCTAGGTAGGGAGGAAGGCTGTTCAGCAGCAAGAAGCAAGTGCCCCATCTTGCATCACGCTGCCAGATTTAAAAGCCAGTGGGATCACGCCACCCCCTGGCGATTGGCTAAAAGAGTCTGGCATGATCCCAGGGCTATGGCCAGGACCTTTTAGCTACTCCCCCACAAATTAACCCTGTAGGGGAGAGCCCTGGGGGCCCGCGCGCAACCAGGACCCTCTATTAGGAGGATCCCATTTCTTATGTTTCAGATGTGGGTAGACCTTGGCTCAGGCATTGGGCATTTATCCCTCCCAGTCCCCCACTGGGGATCTGGGGAACATCAGGTTTATCCAGAGTGTGTGTGGTGAATGGGCTGGCTCTGGAGAACATATGTTCAAGCAGAGAGAGCCCGCCCCCATTACGCCGCCGTTGCAGAGGAGAGCAATGACAACCTCTAGGTGTACGGCCAAAGCCTCTCCTCAAACAACCCCTTTAATGGGGAACCCTGGTATCACTGCCGCAAATACAAGGGGGGTGTGGGTCACTGCTGCATGCCCCGCCCAATTCAGGGAAGATAGACTAAAGGACTCCACCCAAGGCCTGATACCGCCAAAGTTGTGACGTTTTGCTACGGGAAAGGCAAACCTGCCAATGCAGGAGAATTCCTTTCCGGCCCTTCAACGGAGACCTTGACGTAGCAGCACCCGCGTACCTGTGGAGAAGAGGTTAACCTGCAAAAGAAGTCTTAACTGAGGATGGGTAGGGTGGGAGAAGGTCTGGAGCCGACTGATGATTTCCAGGTAAGATTCTCCCCCTATTGTGTGGGCAGGGTGGTCCCTCCACCTACCTGGCCTGATCACCATGGCAACGCCTCCCCAGGCAGGATTGGGCAACTGACTGAAGTAGCGGAGACCTCCAGGTATCCCACCTGGGGAAGGCAAAGCCAAGCCTGTGCTAATGGTGCCTCACAGGGTCCCGGCTGCTGCGCTGACCACACAAAAGTGCCCCCCATTTAATGTGGGGAGCGGTTATTACCAACACACACACCCAGAGCCTCCCTAGGCCACCCTCTACCCACCCCCTGCCCTGCTCTGTGACATCCCTGGGTGCTTTTGCCTGCCTGGAATATGTCCCCAAACTGCAATAATGCCTCTTGCTTGCTTGAAGATTGGGGAAAATTGTGGAAAATAGATTTAGAATTTACAGACGGTTCTCTTTTGAAAGAAAACTACATGAAAATGATGTACAGATGGTATATAACACCAGTACAGATAGCAAGAATGTATAAAACTGGGTCAAACATATGTTGGAAATGTAAAGAAAAGGAAGGGACCTTTTACCATATGTGGTGGGAATGCAGAAAAATTAAAAAATTCTGGGAAATTATATATATGCTGTATTGTTTTTAACACTTGATTGGAAGCCACCCAGAGTGGCTGGGGAAACTCAGCCAGATGGGTGGGGTATAAATAATAAATTATTATTAAATTATTATATAATTAATTGAAGAAAATGTTTAAAATGACATTTGTAAAAAAAACAGAATCATTTTTGTTAGGGGTTGTAGGACAAGACCTTCCAAGGAAAATAAAGAATTTATTTATGTATGCTACAACAGCGGCAAGAGTCTTGATAGCCCAAGGATGGAAGAATGAGGAAACCCCAACAAAGGAACAGTGGCAAGAAAAATTGATGAACTATGCAGAACTGGCGAAACTGACATACAAACTGCGAGAGAAGGACAACTGTGACTTCAAAAAAGAATGGGAACTTTTTACAAATTATTTAAAAAGACAACAAAATGAACTGGACTCCTTGGCAGGTTTCGAATAAACATACACACATTTATTAAGGGTTGATAGATAATTTATTATCTATTAAGTAGATCGATAATAAAAGGATGTATACAATTTTACAGTATGCAGAGAACAGCATGAGTTGAGAAATCAGAGAGAGGAGCTGAAGGAAGTCTTGGGGGGAGGGAGGGTTCGTCAGGGAGGGGGGAGGGAAAAAGGGGGGCGGAAATAATGAAGATTTGATTTGATAATTTGTTATGTGGAAATTGTTAATAAAAATGTGTGTGTGTGTGTGTGTGTGTGTGTGTGTGTGTATATATATATATATATATGAAAGACAGAGGGATATGTGACTGTCACCTGTCTGTGTATATGTATTATTTTAAAACTTGGTTTATTAATTTTATATTTGGCCCTTTCCTGAGGATCACAGGGAGGTTGACAGTGTAATGTTTGTATATGTGTGTGCATATATGGTGTTATAGATTTGAAGGGGAAGCCCTGCCCCCAAGCCCTAGAAATTAATAAATGGTAGGATTTTGATCATTTGGGATGTGAAATACAAGCTGCAGAGGAATTCCTGGGATAGCCTATGCAAAATGACTTGGCCAAGCTATTAAGAAACGATAAAGGGACATTGAGGGCCATTGGCAATGGGAGAGTACTGAGATGTGAGCAGGGACTGGGAATTTGGAAGGTTGCCAGGTGACAGGAAAAGAGAGTCTTGAGCAAGGGAAGAAGGAGGAGGAAGAAAGACTGGGAAGAAGGGAGGAAATAAAAGGAGAGCTCCATCTTGGGCAGGTTGGCTGAAGGAGACATTTGACTCAAAGTTTTCCCCGCGCTCAAGTCCAAAGGTCTGACCTGGCACACATCAAACGCACTGTGAGCGATGCGAATTGGTGTGGGGAGAGGGCATAGCGGTGAGGTGGCCCTAATGTGCCAGCTTTAGATTTTTCTCACCGGGATTCCTACACCGTGCACCAAGGAGCAGGCGGCGTTTTTGCCATTTTACAGATGGGGAAAACTGAGGTCCAGTGAAGAGAACCAACGTCTCCTCCCGCTAGCAGTGGAGAAAAGGAAGATGGGGTCATTAACCATCTTGGCTTCCCAAGTCCCATTCCCAGCACCTTCTGGCTCCCTGGATTTCCTCATCCTAATAATCAGAATGCTCTGCAAGATGCATTATTCCAAGAGTCCGCTTGTGTCTGTTGCAAAGCTGAGAATTCTTGAAGGGCACGGAAGACAGAAGAAATGCCTTTTTCTATTTTGCTACCTGCCAGCGGGATATTGTGCGCGCAGGCATGTGGGTGTTACTGTTGGAGGCTACAGATCTCTGGCTTTCGACCAAACGTATTAGTGAAAGACGGCATCAACAGAGAGAGCTATCCATAAGGATTAGCATTAAAGAGCCGTTTCCTCCAGTCGAGTCATGCCTGCCCTTTGCTGTGCCAATAAATTACCGGGCATTACGAAATGCGGCTTTCTCTGTTTTGCAGTGGCAGCCTTTGGATTGGTAGAACTGCAATCTGGGGAACAGGGGGCAAAGGACAGGAACCTTCTAGGGAGGTTGCCATCTGCTGGGGGTGGCTGGAGAGTGCCGGATTATCCCCAAATTTAAATCGGCACTCAGCCACAAAGCTTAAAGCATGTTCATGAGGAGGTCATCACCTCTCGCAACCTGACCTTCCTCGCAGGACTGTGGTGAAGCTAAGGGCGTTTATCAGGAAAGATGGAATAAAATTGTAACAAGTGGGAAGTGCGGCAAATGATTATTGTGTGTCTTCCTCTTTCCCAAGTTTTGGCTGAGCATGTGGGTGAGGGGGGTGTTATTCGTGTCAATGGCCTGCCCTCATTCTTCCCTACCCATGGAAGCACCATAGAATCATTGGAAGGGCCGGCCCTACCATTAGACAGAACAAGATGTTTGCCTCAGGTGGGAGATGCTGGGGGGACAGGCGGGAAACGGTAGGGAGGAACTGGAGAGCCAGAGCTTTGCATGCACTGCATGGCCTCTAATCAAGCGTCTTGCTGTCAGGTGTGGTGGGAAGTGCTGTCCTGTCACCAGGATTGAAATCAGATGCACTGGAAAGCAGGAAGCTACCTTAGTACAAGTCAGAGCGTTGTTCCTTCTAGCTAAGCATTGTCTGCACTGACTGGCAGAGGCTCTGCAGGGTTTTAGAGCAGGGTCACTTCTGGCTGTACCTGGAGATGCCAGGAACCAAAATTGGGATCTACTACATGCAAAACAGATCCTCTGCCGCTCAACTTGGCTGCTAGTCCGGTTAGCTGGTCTGCATGGAATGGGGAAGGAACGAGCATCATTTTCAGATTGGCCTGTAACATATCTTTCTTTCTTTTTGTATATTTTCTATTAAGTTTTTCTATTTTACATTTTAGAATATTCATTTAAACAACCTAAAAATATCAGTGACTTCCCTTCTCTTTCCATGGTTCAGTTTGCATGCCATAAATCCCTACTAAATCATTCAGTATTCTATTTTTACATCCATCAAAACTTATTTACACAGTTGAATTTATCTTAAAGCTGCCAACGTTTTCAAACATACACAATTTTCACCCATATACTCAATAAACATTTCCCAGTCTTCTTTAAACGTATACTCTCCTTTTCCTCTTATTCTATAAATTAGATCAGCAAGCTGCACATATTCCATCAGTATAAGTTGCCATTCTTCTTTGGCTGGGACCTCGCTCGTTTTCCATTTTGGGGCTGACAAAACAAGGGCCGCAGTAGTGGCATATATAAACAGCCTTTTTTGACACCTGGGGATTTCCCTCTGAATGATCCCCAGGCCCGTAATATGTCTTGGGCTGGTCCTGGTTTGTATGGTGCTCTTTTAATCGTTTAGATTTGTTGCATACTGCGTGTGGTGGTTGCATAAAAATATTAGGCGCACGCATAGCATAATTAAGAATGCAAGAGCAGAAGATGATCCCGGCTGCTGGAGCAGACCAAAGGGCCCCTGACCTATCCAATATCCTAGTGCCACAGTTGTGGGATATTTAAAGTGCAGCCAAATTCATGTATTGCTGGGTAGACACATGACAGGAACTGAAACTCACAGAGTTTCTGTGAGAGTTGCTGTGTCTCGACAAGAGAAGGGTGTAGGCCCAGTGCCGGATTTACGTATAAGCTAAACAAGCTATAGCTTAGGGCCCCACTCTCTTGGGGGCCCCCAAAAAAATTAAAGGAAAAAAACTGGATGTACATTTCCGAAATATAAGATAAAAAAACCAAATAAAATAAAACCTACCTACAGCAACAGTGTTTCGTATTGTGTAGGCTCCTGTGATGTAAGTAATGGACCCTGCCTGCTAGCCTGCTCCCTAAAATATCACTGGTCTGCTCATTTCTATATACAGGGTGCCTACATTCTGCATGTGCAAATGGCTTTAGATACCTATTAGGTCCATAAATTACCATATAGCATATATTCAACACAAAAAAACAGCGACAATTTGTTGTTGACAAAGGACAGCGCTGGACCTATAAAGGGCCCCTTTACCTTCAGTAGCTCAGGGTCTCGTCAAACCTAAATCCAGCACTGTTAGGTCCAACCTGCTTGGGAACACCCTCTTCCTCTTCAGCAAGCGACGTGAGAACATCTACATATTTGAGTTCCAAGCTCAGACACCATTTCTAACTAGACTTAAGTACAGTATGTCTTTGCAACTGAATTACCATTTTAAGGCTGCCTGAACAAATCTGCTGTATCTGTTTCTCTTCAGCAAGTATTCTGAGTGAATGTTATTTTTTCCCCTTTTACAAGACTGTTTGTGTGGTTGTTATTTTAAAAGGGAGAAAAAGGGGGGAAATACCAAGAAAATATTGGGACACGGGTGGCGCTGTGGGTTAAACCACAGAGCCTAGGACTTGCCAATCAGAAGGTCGGCGGTTCGAATCCCCGCAACGGGGTGAACTCCTGTTGCTCGGTCCCTGCTCCTGCCAACCTAGCAGTTTGAAAGCATGTCAAAGAGCAAGTAGATAAATAGGTACCACTCCGGTGGGAAGGTAAACGGTGTTTTCGTGCGCTGCTCTGGTTCGCCAGAAGCAACTTAGTCATGCTGGCCACATGACCCGGAAGCTGTACGCCGGCTCCCTCGGCCATTAAAGTGAGATGAGCGCCGCAACCGCAGAATTGGTCACGACTGGACCTAATGGTGAGGGGTCCCTTTACCTTTACCAAGAAAATCCAGTCTGCCTTAGAGCATCCTCAATGACTTAAACCAAAAGGCTAAAGATCTCTAATCAGGTACCCTCCAGATGTTTTTGACTGCAATGAGGCTGTGCTGGCTCAGACCTTCCTTTTGGGGAAAGATGGCCCAAAACGCTTTCTATGCTTAGGAAAAGGCATGTATAAATAAGCCTGCCTTATCATATGTGCCTTAAGCAACTTCCTTCCGATCCGAAGCTTTCCAACCAATTTTCGCTATTTCTTGGCTCGCCGGGGTATAATCAGGAATTAATATACCATGCAATAGTCCCCAAATTTAATTTAATTACTCCCTTCCAGAGTGGATGGCTCGGTGTTAAAACATTTTAAAGGGGGACATTCCGTTTCCAAAGCGCAGGACAACAAATGGCTTTGATGGCAAGCTATATTTCTTTGGGCACAATACCTCCATCAAATAAAAGTCCCCTTTCAGCTGGCAGGCTGTAAATTCAGGCTGCTTAGCCCTTCTGAGTCCATCTATTTCTGCAACAATGCTGGGCTTTAAGAGAGAGAATATATATCCACTCCAGGGAACAGCTTCACAATTAAAACTCTACAGGCACCATCACTTGAGTAGCTCAGAAGCTTTCCTGTTTATCATCCTGGCCCCCTTTCTTTTCATTCCTGAAGGTGGTGGGAATAAATTAGTGTGTTGGATAATTCTATTTGTTCCAGCAGAGTCAATTAAAAACACACACAAAGGGAATACTGGACAGGTAAACAATGGCGGAATCAGAAGCTGGATTGCACCAGCTGCATCTCCCCACTTAAAAGGACATTAACCCACCTTGTGTTGGGTCAGCGCATCAGGGATAGCTCAGTTGGTAGAGCTGGAGACTCTTAACCCCAGGGTTGTGGGTTCCAGCCCCACATTGGACAAAAAGATTCCTGCATTGCAGGGGGCTGGACTAGATGACCCTCGTGGTCCCTTCCAGTTCTACGATTCTATTAGTCTATGCGATATTGCGGATAATTACAATGAAAACAGCACAGCACCAGCCCTTTCATTAAAAGCAGTCAGTTCCTCAAAGTCTATTGCAATAAGGAGGTCTTCAGCTGCCGGCAGAACGACAAATAAATTCTGTTTATTTTCAAAAGTGTCATGATGCTTTTGTTGTTTTAAGCGCAGCCAGTCTTTGCTTCCTGACCCACGGGGTGACGTCATCAGAGCACAAGATTGGCTGGATCAGGCCAATAGCCCATCTAGTCCAGCATTCTGTTCTCACAGTGGCCAACCAGATACCTGTTATGGGAAGTCTGCAAACAGGACCTGACTGCAACAGAAGCTCTCCTACTCCCTGTAGTTTCCAGCCACTGGTGCTCAGGAGCATGCTACCTTCAACATCAACTTCAGTGGACTGGTCATGTTGTGTGGATGCCTGATTATTGCCTTCCAAAGCAACTACTCTATTCCAAACTTAAAAATGGAAAGTGTAATGCTGGTGGTCAACAAAATAGGTTTAAAGACTCTCTCAAGGCAAATCTAAAAAACTGTAGTGTTAGGTTGTGGGTGAACATATCAGACGACACAGCGATTCTTCAGACAGCTCTTGTTTATTCACAGGCCAGAAATGAACTGAATTGGAAGGGTTCAGCCAACCTGCTTATATAGAGCTCAACTACAAGGCAACAGTAACAACTTTCTGTAACTATCCAATCACTGAACGTCACTTTCAATTCCTTATTTGTATATGTGGACCTGAGTGAAAACTATTTACAGTATCCCCCTGCTGGCCCAGGGTGAGAACTTCAGTAAATAACATGTAGTATAAACACCGAGAACTGGAAAACACTGGCCTGCGCGTGCTCCAGTTGGAGAACAGCCTTTACCAAAGGTGTCATGGGCTTTGAAGACACTCGAACTCAGGATAAAAGGGAGAAACGTACTAAGAGAAAGGCATGCTTGGCAAATCCACACCGTGATCAACTCCCACCCGGAAACCTATGTCCCCACTGTGGAAGGACGTGTGGGTCCAGAATTGGCCTCCACAGTCACTTACGGAATCACTGTTAAGACCGTGTTCATGGAAGACAATCTTACTCAGCTACGAGTGATCGCCAAAGAAGAAGAAGCTACTTCCGACAGTGGAGGCAGAACTTATCGATCAGGCTTAATAGCCATTAGCTCCTCCAAGAGCTTGTCGAACCCTCTTTCAAAGCAGTCCCATGCTTTGAAGCTGCTATGTGTACAGGTGGCTCCCTGCTTCAGAAGACTCGTGGAAGACACTTAGTACAGTGATCTGGGGTGGGGAGGAGAACTTGCACCCTTGCCTACGATGCCCTATCAGGCATCTTTTCTTAACATGCATCTAGAACACTCAAAGACAGTGAGATCTCCTGCAACACAGGAAGCTGCATCACAGCAAGTCAGGTCACAGGTCCATCTAACTTAGTATTGTCTACACTGGCCAGCAGCAGCTCTCCATGGTGTCTGGCAGCGTTCACTCTCAGCCCTGCTTGGGGATGCCAGAGATTGCCCCTGGGGCTTCTGTATGCAAGGCAGATGTTGTGTCGCTGAGTCATGGCCCTTAACCCCTTCTCTAAGCCATCCACAAGTAATATTAGAAAAGATAAGCAGCATTAATCCTGAACAGTAAGCTGATGGCCTGGCTAGTTCATCGCAGAGAGAGTGAATGAGAGAGAGAGAGAATGAGAAGAAACACCATGTTTTTGCTGACATGTTCACTGAATGCTGTTATTGTTGTTATTGTTACAGTGGTACCTCCGGTTGTGAAGAGGATTCGTTCCGGAGGTCTGGCCGCATCCCGAGGAATTCGCAACTGGAGGATCGCTGCTGCGCATGCGCACGGTGCGGTTTAGCGCTTCTGCACATGCACAAGCGGCGGAACCCGGAAAAATACTTCCGGGTTTGCTGCTTTCACAACCCGAAGTTTACGTTACCCTCTTGGGTAAGCCGAGGGTCCACTATATTTAAATTTGTATACAGCCCTAACCTGAAGGTCTCCGGTTGGCTACAGCATAAAATCACAACATAAAAACACAAAATACATGATAAAAACAAAAACAACAAAGGAAACCCTGCCTCCTGAAGGGCATTGAATTTCAATCCGCCAAAGACCTGGTTAAAGAGGAATGTTTTTGTCTGGCGCCTAAAGGTGTATAATGAAGGCGCCAACTGAACCTCCCAGGGGAGAGCATTCCACAAATGGGGAGCCACTGCAGATAAGGCCCTGTATTCATGTTGCCACCCTCTGGACCTCCCATGGAGGCGGCACATGAAGAATACATGGAGTGTGGACCATGTCTGCTGGCCTTAATTTAAACCTCCACAGATGCACCCAGAGATCAAAGCAACCATGCCAATGCCAGATGTTTTATAGGACCAGGAAGAATCTTATTGGGCTGCTTGCATCACCTGATCCTTGCTGAGCTGGTATTTCCTGGCCATCCAGCTATCAGGCTGATGCAGAGACAGAAAACCCCGAGAGAACCTGGGGCACAAGCGACTGGACCACTTCCAATTCTCTCGCTGTTTGGTTTTCCAGCCAACTGTGGCCTCTTCATTTCCACCAACTCAGATCCCTTAATCCTTATTCCAGATAGGTAAACGCTGAGTCATGTCCGCTCCGCCGGACTGTATAAAAATAGCCTAGTCACTTTTTATCTCTTATTCTATCTGATAAAAATGTCCCCGTTAAATATATCCCAGGGAACGTGAAATGGAGCAATAAAGATTCCGGACAACCTTGCTTCCCCAGCTTCTTTCTTTCTTTTTCAATTAAAAGCTTACAAGTTACCAGATGTTTGGCCTGTTGCACTCGCTCCTGGTTCATCCCCAGATAGGACTCTCTGCCCCTCTTGAGAGAAGGGAACGGGCTACCTTATGGCTTCATCAGAGATTTACAAGGGTTTCCAGGAATTTAAGCATGCCCATCTGCATAATTAAGGAGCATCCCATTGACACTGACATCTGCTTAAGATGTGCCTGCCATATAAATGTTGTCATCTGTCTCCTCCATCCACCCCATGACTCCTCAAATGGAAAAAGAAGCTCCCTTGCATGTAGAAAAACTGTGCAACAGGCAGCGGGTGATGCAATATTATGAGCCATCCTGTGTCATTTTATCTTGTGAACTGCCCCGAGACCTGTGGGTATAGGGCAGTACAGTGGTACCTTGGGTTACAGACGCTTCAGGTTGCAGACGCTTCAGGTTACAGACTCCGCTAACCCAGAAATAGTACCTTGGGTTAAGAACTTTGCTTTAGGATGAGAACGGAAATCGGGCTCCGGCGGCCTGGTGGCCCCATTAGCTAAAGTGGTGCTTCAGGTTAAGAACAGTTTCAGGTTAAGAGCGGACCTCCGGAACGAATTAAGTTCTTAATCTGAGGTACCACTGTATAATCATAATCATCATCATCGTATAATCATCATCATCATCATCATCAACCCTTTCGCATTCTGAAATCATGCAGTCCAGAATTCTAGCAACTCATTTTGCCACCTTTTCTTTGTAATGTATAGGTCAACTATCCATTATACATAGGGAAAAATGTGAAGTTCTGCACTTAGGCAGGAAGAACCAGATGCACAAATATAGGATAGGGGACACCTGGCTTACTAGCAGTACATGTGAAAAGGATCTAGGGGTCTTGGTGGACCACAAGCTTAACAAGGGTGATGCAGAGGAAGAAAAAGCTCATGCTGTTCTAGGCTGCATCAACCGCAGTCTAGTGTCCAGATTAAGCGATCAAGGGAAGTACTAGTCCAGCTCTATTCTGCCTTGATCAGACCACACCTGGAATACTGTGTCCAGTTCTGGGCGCCACAATTTAAGAAGGATGTAGACAAGCCGGGTTGTGTGCAGAGGAGGGCCTGGAAAACTAGCCTTATGAGGAGCAGTTGAAGGATCTGGGTATGTTTAGCCTGGAAAAGAGGAGAGTGATGTTGGGGATTGAATCAGTGCATTCTGCATTTATGGTACATGCTCCACCATTGAGTCATGGCTCTTCCTCACATTAGGTAGCTGACTGAAGTGGATGGATTCTGAGGACTATGCCAGTTCAGACTGCAGCTGAGTTCCATTTCTGAATGCAGAAAACTCCCTGCATGCAGAAAACTAGAACACCAAGGATAAAGCTTTAGGTGCTAGCTTTTTAGAAGCCAAGTTCTTAAAAAAAATAAATCAGCACCCACCTGCCATTTGATATGGCATGTTCCAAAATCCTATCCCCCCCATCATCTGAGTTAAGTATAGATTCACTCTTTCTTTAGCCTTTCCAAATAGCTTATAAGAAGCCGGGCTAAAAATATGCCCCTTTTAGAGGCTAGCAGACTTCTTGGAGGGTTGATAGCAATAAGTGGAATCAGACAGAAGTGTGAGAATGAGATCTGCACAAAGTCCACAAGCATAGGCAACCTGCTCATTATGGGACTAAAATCAGGGTAAATCTAAATGATAATTTTTGCATACAGTATGTCATTTCACAGGAATGCTGAGTGCAAAGGCAGAAGTCTTTAACCCCCAAGGCAGGGAGGAAAAGGAGACCACCAACTAATCAGCCATTTCTCCCTTGTTGAACAAACAGCTTTTCCAAATTGCCTCATTAGCCAGGCAAACTTGTCTTGATTAATTGCACAGGTACTTCTTGATGACTGCATCATTACTCTGGGGAGCAGAGAATCTGTGGGCTTGGGAGGGAAGCGACTCCTGTTACAGATACCCATCAAGGCAAAAAGCAACCATCACAGGTGGCATTTCAAACTTTCCGCAGAAGGCACCAGAAAAGATTCTGCAAGCTCCCCAAATAGCTCAGCCTAGTTGTTGACGAGGACGGTGATATGTAGGAGATTTTGCAACCCAGCTCCTTTCCTGGGGATAACACATGCCAAGATGCATAATAATAATAATAATAATAATAATAATAATAATAATAATTTCTACCCCGTCCTCCCCAGCCAAGACCGGGCTCAGGGCGGCTAACACCAGATATAAAAACAATTGATTTAAATACATTAAAATGCAGTCTCCGTTCAGTAGAAACTCAAATCAAAAACTTTTTGGGGATGGAAACGTCAAATCTTCACCAAGGCCAACTATCCAGACTGGTCCTACGTGGGCCAGAAAAAAGCCAGGGAAGTCCCCAAATAGGATTTCCATCACAGAAGGAAAAAGGTAAGAGGAGGAGGGGATCAAGTTGATTCCAAGCCAAAGGCCAGGTGGAACAACTCTGTCTTACAGGCCCTGCAGAAAGAAATCAGATCCTGCAGGGCCCTGGTCTCATGAGACTCATCAGGTGGACTCATCAGGTGGGGGGAGCTGCGCACTGTGGCTCCTCCGTGCGCTGGGATTCACTGAATCATAAAATTGTAGAGGTGGAAGGGACCTCAATGGCCATCTAGGCTGGGTTGGTGCCCAGGAACAACTTGCTGCAGGACAGACCTTGAGCAGGAAACGACAGAGCACCACAGCTATGCAGCACATAATTAAACTATGGAACCCAATTCTCCAGGAGGCAGTGATGACCCCCAACCCCCAACCCCAACCTCTTTAAAAGAGGATTGGACAAATTCATGGAAGAGAACCTTGGGAAGATGCTGCCAGTCAGTTCAGCTAACACTGGGCAAGATAAACGAACAACCTTCCTTGGTATGAAGCAGATTCCTATGTCTAAAGTGCAGCCGTGGGTAAATTTTGCAAACCATGGTTAGATTGGAGGCAATTATCCACTCCTACAACCAATGGGGAGAGGTCATAGCTCTGTGGCGGTGCATCTGCTTTCCATGTAGAAGGTCACAGGTTTGATCCTGGGCTTCACCATGTAGGGCTAGGAAAGACTCCCCGTAAGGAGACCCTGGTCAGCCTAGACCAGGGATGGGGAATCAGTGGTCCTCCTGATACTGTTGCACTACAGCTGCCATCATGCTTGGCCATTCTGGCTGGGGTTGATGGGAACTGGAGTTGAGCAACATGGGAAGAGCCATTGGTTCCCCATGAGGGGCGGACTTTGGACTTCAAATTTCAGCAGCGCCCTGTAAAAGCCCCAAATTCGGAGCCTCTCCATGCCTCTCACCTTCTGTTCTGCTCCATTCACTATGTCATAGTTGTGATGTCCTGCAGTGCCCCCTAGGCTTGGCACCCAGCGTGGCAGAACTGGCCACGCTGTCCTAAATCCGTCTCTGCCAAACCGGACACAGGGAACAGTGGATTGACTTGCTAGACAGTTGTCTCCTCTCTAGCTTAATCCAATCACTCCCTTTTTATAATTTTAAAACCATTGCATATTTTTCTATCATCTGTGGACACGATGAATAATTGCTTCCTCTTTGCTTATCCACGAATCACGAGGGTTAGAATTTAGTATACAAAAAAGTAAATAAAAAGGAAGAGAGAGTTTCTTCCAGTCTGCTTCTACAGTTCTTACAGGTTTCCTTGCAACAGAGAGCTACTGAGCTACAGCCCTTCCCCAGCTAGCTTGCTCTTTTCCTCCATTTGCACAGAAAAAATGCTTCAAAGAACAGCATTTCCTAAGAAACAATAGGATATATACAGAATAGATATGGATTGTGGCTATTGTCATGTGTACACCGGTTCCTAAACCAGCAGTGGCAGCATACTGGATACAAAGTAAGCAGGAGTGTGCACACAGCTTTAGTTTCCAAGATCCTTTAGAAACTCATATGAAAAGGTGTTGTATATGCTTGAAAGCAAAGAGATAAATAAAAGCATTCTAGGGTAGACTGCTTCTAAGCATGGAAGCTCCCTATTAGCATCATAGCAAACAGTCAGTGGGATGGAATAAGGTAATGATCCTGCCAGCATCCTAAATTTATTTTTGGATCTGCAGTGATTGACTTTCTGATGGCGGAGAGGAGAGGAGCATTTTTAGCATGTCATACTGTGCGACTGCAGAAAATATTCGGATAGGCATGTCTATTTTCTGAAGGAGAGATTTGTTTGTGTTTGAGTCAGACTCCACCTTTGCCTCACACTCACTTTGTGGCCTTGGGAAAGTCCCTTCTCTCTCTCTCTGGTCCAGTCCTCTATCTAGGCTGCCTTCAGAATGCCATAATTCTATGAGCAAAATAATTTTCAAAAACATACCAGGTAGATTGGATTGAAGTGCTCTGTTGCCCTGGCTCAAGAAATCCACTTTGAAAACAAAACAAAAGCAGACTTTTCTTTTTTTGCAGTGAGGAAAGAGACAAGGAAAAGTGTGAGCTAAACAAATGATTAATAGAAACCACCACTTCAAAAGCAAAGTGGGATGAATACAGAATGGACACTCGTCATATAACGTCCCTACTAACATATCAGAACCAATGTGCAATAAAGACTAGAGAGAGTATCATCTCTGCATGAAGGATGATGGCTCAGTAAGCAGGTTGCTTTGAGGAATTCTGAGTCCAAACCCAGGCAAATGCCACTGGGAAACATATTAGTAAAGGCTAATGTTTCCCTGTTGTTTTCCACTGTTGACTTTGAGCAGAGAGATTCCTTTTAGCTACCAATGGGCTCCCTTGGGTGGGGCAGGGGTGCAATAAGTAGGCTTTGCATGGCAGGGTCTGTGGCTCCCCATCACCTTGGGGAGGCATCTTCCTGATGGTGGAGGAATCTTCCTGATGGTGGAAACCAACTGTTTTGAAGCATGGGTAAGACAAACCAATCAACAGCCTGTCTGTACCAGGAGACTTTGGAAAGGCTGCCCTGAGTCAGAACGAAGAGGGAAAGTCTCACTGCCATACTTCACAGGGCAGGCAGTGATATCAGTCGAGGGTACCAGGAATCTGGTTGCAATCGGAACGAAGCCTCCCTTTGCACAAAAGATACCTGGGCCCCTCTCTTGGATTTCCATGCATCTGAGTGCCTGGCGTCCCGGCATCCTTTGCATGGCTGCAAAGGATCTTGGGAGACGCACCTTCCGATGTGCAGTGCAGCTGCATGGGACAGCAAACTGCTGGGGCCTCCACTCCCCAGTCCTTGCAGTAGTCAACATCAAGGGGCTTCAGCTCCCGTGCAAATTTGATGGGTGCTTCTTGCTTCCAAATGAGCATGAATCACTGGATGCTGAGCGGTGCTTTGAAAAAGAGCACCGCCTCCTATCTGTAGCATGACCCTGCCATGCAGATTAGGGGAAGGGTGGTAGTTCGGTGCTTTGCATGCAGAAGGTTCCTGGTTCAATCCCCAGCACCTCCTGGTGGGAAGCCTTGGAGAGCCACTGCCAGCCAGCTAGGTGTACCAATGGTCTGACATGGGGTAAGGCAGCTGCTTTCGTTTGGGACTGACTGTGGCTCAGTGGCAGAGCCAGATTCAGTCCCTGGCATCTCCGGGTAGGACTGGCAAAGGCTGCCTACTTGGAACCCCAGAGTACCTCTTCTATTTAATATAGACATTGCTGAGCTCAGTGGAATAATGGGTCTGATTCTCCTACAAAGCGCCAAGGATGAGATTGGCAGTGAGTGTTTGGATACCACTCGAGTCATATGATAAGCATGGTTTAAAATTTGCATTTTCAGTTAATTAGTTGACAAGTACCAGTACTCCGTAGTATGGCTACTTTTCTGCTTGTATGGCTCATTGCAACATCAGAAAATTCTATATAACTTTGTACGATTATTTATGTCCGTGTGGGACACTGTTACTAGGGATATCAACATACTTTTTTTATATACAAGCAGTTGGGTCTTGGTGATGATTGTGTTTTCTCACTTGCAGGTGGACAAAAACGTTTCAAATAAGGAAATTAAACAAAGAATTGTCCTCTTCTCATCTAGCCTCTGAGCAACTATATTCTGTGGGGTCACAACAACAACAGTCTTGCAAGGGAGGCCACTGCTGGCTTAATTGGACAGGTGGAGTGGCAAGCCCAAAATTTAATGATTATAATAAGCTATCCAGAGTATCTAATGGGATTCAAGGTTTACTGGATGGCCCACAATGGCTGATAGTTATCCCCACTGCCAGCCTATTTTATTTCTAAGGGAACCTAGAAAAGTAGACTTAACAAGGTTGTAAAGTTCACCCTTGAGGAGCAACTGGAATTCATAATTTATTAATCACATTGCTGGATCACCCTTCCTCTAAAGGAGCTCAGGGCAATGTACAATAAAACATTTTTTTTTAAGTATCATAAATAAGACGTAACAGTAAGCAACATACTTTAAAATATCTATCTATAAAGTCAGGACCATTGAAACACACAACATATAAAAATATAAAAGTGAAGACAGATGCAATGTAAGAGGAGAAGACAGATGTCATGTAAAAGAGAACTCACATCTCGTGAACATCGCACAAGAGAAGTCAAGGTGCCTCACTTACCGAAAGACAGCACGAAAAAGAAAGGCAGCCAGCAGAGGATGAAAACCCCAACAACGATCGCAAGAGTTTTGGCCGCTTTCTTCTCCCTGGAGAACTTCAAGAGGCGCACTGAGAGAGAGCTCCTGAAGGTGTGCCCTTTGCCCTTGGTGCTGGCGGCCAGGGAGTCCTCGAGGACACTGCGGCAGTGGATCCTGAGCACCACTTCCATGGACTTCCCACGCTCTTTCTTGACCCCGGCCTCCAAGCTCTTGGTGGTCCTCCTTGCCACCACGTAGATGTTGAAGTACATCACCAGGATGACCATGAGTGGCAAGTAGAAGGAGAAGAGCGAAGAGAAGATGGCGTAGCCCGGCTCCATCGTGATGCTGCAGGTTTCGTCGTTTTCGGGCGGCTCCTCCTTCCAGCCCAAGAGGGGCCCAATGGAGATGACCATGGAAGAGAGCCAGACCACCACTAGGATGATGACCGCCTTCTTCTCAGTCATAATGGTGGGGTACTTGAGCGAGTATTTGACCCCGATGTACCGATCCACAGAGATGATGCACAGGCTCATGATGGAGGCGGTACAGCAGAGGACGTCTACCGCCGCCCAGATGTCGCAGAAGATGCGGCCAAAGATCCACAGGTCCAGAACTTCCAAGGTGGCTGAGAAGGGCAGGACAGTGGTGCTGAGCAGCAGGTCAGCGATGGCCAAGTTGATGATGAAGTAGTTGGTCACAGTCTGCAACTGACGGTTGCAGGCTACCGAGAGGATGACCAGGATATTGCCCACGATGGCCGAGAGGATGAAGAGGGCGAGGAAGACCCCCACGCCCACCGACTGCAAGGTCAACCTCAGTGCCAAGGAGGTGCTGTTGTCGGGGTCAACATCCCCCCCTGCCCAGGACCCGTTGACCCCCTCGGCTTCTTCTCCCGTGTGGTTCCCATTCAAGCTGGCATTAATCCGGTCAGGGAAAGTCATTCTTTTTCAAAAGGGGCCAGTCTCCATGGGAGATGGGTTGAGCGTGATGGAGGTGCCTAGGAGATGAGCAACAGGCATGGCTCACTCTCTCCCTGGTACCATCCCCAGAATCACCTATAATGATTTTGAACTCCACACTCCCAAGAGAGAGAAAAAAGTCTCTCTTTTTGCACAGGAGGAGTTTCCTCCCACTTATATCTCTCCTCCTCTGCAATCCTTTTTTTTTTTACACCATCGTTTCCTGCAAAGGTGGACCTCTATCCACGTCACTGCACGCCACCAGGGATGCTGTTGTGTCCCTACTCTTCTCACTTCTTGCACACACACATGAGCAGCAAAATCATCTTGCAAAGGTGCTGGATCTCAAGGAACCCGCTTTCTCTCTCTCTCCTCCCCCGGCAATGCTGCGCGGGCTACCTCTTTCACCTCCCTCCCTCCCTTCCCCCTCTCACCTCTCTGTCCATCAGGTGTGTTTGTGTGCGTGGCCCCTGAGCTGTCCCCTTCGTCCTCAGCCACCTCCTCCACTCAGTAATAAGATAAAAAAGTATTTGACGTTCCTCCTTGCACCTCTCCAACGCACGCGCGCGTTTGCAAAAGTCCCTTGTAAAAAGGCTGAGCAGCAACAACCCCTGTACGCGGGGGTAGGGGGGTGGGAATAAAAAATAAAACAGAAAATTGGGACCGGGGGTGAGAAGGCAGCAAATCACTCCTTTAAATAACTCCTGTCGGCCCCCCGCTTGTTTCCCCCATCGAGGGTCCTTCATCCAGCAAGATGCGTTGGCTGCGGAGGCTTCGGGAAGAAGGACCGAGCTGGGCGCAAGCGTCGCGTCGTCGTCAGTGTCCAGAGCCGGCTGCTTGACAGTTTCCCGGACATCCTTCCAGCTTGTCGGTCCAGAGGATGCGACGCAGGAGCGCGGAGGGAGAGAAAAGGGGAACGGCGGGGAAGACGTTGCCGGTCCCTCTGCAGCTAAATCCGAGCCCCCTCCAATCGGAGCGGGAGAGAAGTGACGGTTGGGGAGCCAGAGGAGCAAAAGTAGGCTGCGTCCGGGCGCGCAAACTTTGCGCTGGGGAGCTTTGCGCGCTCGGCGTCTCCCGGGTTGTCAATCTCTCTCCCTCTCCCTCTCTCTCTGCAGCGAGATCTACGGCGCAGCAGCAGCAGCGAAATCCAGCAAGTCGCCTTCCTCAACTCCTCCTAGAGGGCTTGTGGCATCCTTCTGCCGGCGTAGGGTGGCCGGAGGGGCTGGCTCTGCAAGTTTGGCAGCGAGGGTGGGTGGCCAACCGCGCGCAGGAGAGGCGGGAGGGAGGCAGAGGAGAGACTCCTCTTAATTTTTAAAAAAGAGGGACGGAGCGCGCGGGGGGCGGTGGGATAACGCGCTGGGTCGTGGGTGGTGGGTGGGAGGGAGGCCCTTAAAGATATATATATATATATATTTATGTACCGAAAATAGCTTCATTGAAGGATTTCCATTTCCTGGGCGAGGCGGCCGAGAGACGCTAGAGAGCAGCAAAGGGCTGGTCGACGGCGCTGCCGCTAACGCTAATGCGCTTCTGGTCCCTTGCAAAGCCCTCGGTGTTTATTAGAGAAGCCGTTATTCTGGGATGATCACCTCGGCGGGGCTCCCTGCAACCTGTTTGATTTGCTTTACGTGGGAGGAAGCCGGCCGATTTAAGCCTTGCAGCTCCTGTGTGTATATATATATATATATTTAAAAAGGCGTAAGTGCGTGTCCAAAGGCAGATCTTGTCCGTGGGTTCTGCTTGATGCCAAATCCACCGTTGCAGGCTGTTCCCGGGGCATCCAGATGGTCGTGTGAACATATGCTGGAGAGTCACGAACGGCTGGTTTGCTTGTTTACCTGGGACTTTCTGATCCTCTCCTTCAACTGACTTCAGCTTGCGATTCAGATTTCAATGTGACAAAGGATTGCAATGTGATGGTGACCACACAGAGGTCTGCGCCTCACATTGCCCAAACATTGTCTTTTACCCTGTGCAATGACTCATTGTGATCAATGGATCTTATTTCCATGTAAATATATTTTATTTTATTTATCTCTTGCCCTTCCTCCACTTGAAGGACCCCTAGAGTTGGATGGGGTGCTTAGAGACCCAAGTCATCTAGTCCCAAGACCAATCTGGGTTGGGGAGGCCGGAAGGACCATTTGGCTCAAGCTCAAAGGGTGCCTCAGAGCTAGACACTTTTCAAATTTTTGGCACTTACTTTTATTTATTTTATTTAGATCCCATCTTTCCTCCAAGAAGCTGAAGGTGGTATGTGTACATGGTTCTCTTCCGCCCCATTTTATCCTCACAACAACCTTGTGAGGTAGGTTAGGGGGAGAGAAAGTAACTGGCCTGAGGTCACCCAAGTGAGTTCCATGGCTTAAGTGGAGATTTGAACCCAGGTTCCCATCAGTTTGATAAGTTTCTCAACTTGTTTTTCTGTGCATCAGACCAAATGGTGGAACACTCTCTCAGTTTGGAGCTGCAAATTTAAACAAATGAGAGCTGTGCTTTGCTAAAAGGCATTCTTTTTTTCTTTTTTTTTTTGCTAATTGATATAGATTTTGTCATATGCTTAATGTCAGCCGTGACGCTGCACGAAAGCAATATTTCCCCTCAATAATTAGTGCAGTTGCACAGGAAAGGCTAGAAAAGCATATGTTAAATTGTATATGGGGGGGGGGTCAAATCGTGGCACACCAGCTACAAAGATGTTTGTGAACATGACATGAAGGCTGGCAGCATCAACCCCACCATGTGGGAATCCCTTGCAGAAGACCACAGTGCCTGGAGACAGACAGTCAGGTTGTGCATCCATAGCAGTGGCCGGAGGAGGAATGACCGCTGTGAAGACCGCAGAGAGAAGAAACGCCATGGTGCACCTTCAGCAGCACAACTGCATGCCTTCCTCTGCCCCGGCTGCAACAAAGCATGTCTCTCCTGTATTGGTCTCTGCAGCCTCAGCAGGAGCTGCAACCTCCCAACAGTTTGACTTCACTCCTCCATTGCCTCCCAAGACAGGCGGATGCCGACCAACCAACCAGGGATCAGGCAACTGCTTGCGAGATTTCATGGGAAGGAAGGGAGCACTCATCTGCCTGGTCACCCACTCCTCTCTCACTGCTGAAGGGTTGGAGAACATCTGTGGTCCAACACTTGTTGGACTCCCAAGTCCCATTAGCCCCCACCAGCATTACCAAATAAAAAAGACATATAAACCATCAGTTTTGCACTCGGACAACCAGTTAGGCGTTACACCTCTATGCACTGTTAACATTACAGTGGTACCTCGGGTTATATATGCTTTAGGTTACATACGCTTCAGGTTACAGACTCCGCTAACCCAGAAATAGTACCTCAGGTTAAGAACTTTGCTTCAGGATGATAACAGAAATCGCACGGCGGCAGCAAGAGGCCCCATTAGCTAAAGTGGTGCTTCAGGTTAAGAACAGTTGCAGGTTAAGAACGGACCTCCAGAACGAATTAAGTACTTATCCCGAGGTACCACTGTACCTAATAGCCCACATATCGCAGCAGGTGATGAAATAACAATAAATTTTATTATACCCCACCCTCCCCAGCCAGAGCCAGGCTCAGGGCAGCTAACACGAATAAAATTTCAATAGAAACATAAGGGGGGGGGAAAACCCAATTTAAAATACAGGTTAAAATTCAATTTAAAATGCAGCCTCATTTTAAAAGTAGCCCATAGATCAAAACCGTAAGGGGAGGGAAGACATAAGGGTCAGACTGAGTCCAAACCAAAGGCCAGGTGGAACAGCTCTGTCTTGCAGGCCCTGCGGAAAGATGTCAATTCCCGCAGGGCCCTAGTCTCTTGTGACAGAGCGTTCCACCAAGTTGGGGCCAGTACTGAAAAGGCCCTGGCCTTAGTTGAGACCAATCTAACCACCAATCTAAATATTTTGGGCACTTTGCAAACTTTCTCTGTCTGATGTCTTCATGCTCCAACACGGTGGTGGGAAACCTCAAGCCTGGGGGGATCAATGTGGCCCCCTAAGCCTCACCACCTGGCCCTTGGGACTCTCCCCAGCCACATCACCTAGTGGCCCTGCTCTGCAGCCTCTTTGAAGGCGTTGGCTGCCTGGGACCCTGGTAATGCTTCTTGCTTCCTTTGATACAGAGGGGTGTGGGTGTAGAAATCAGCCTGCAATATGTCAATTGCATCAATTGCTCCACCCACTTTTGCTCCTGGCCCCACCTGCCAGTGTCATGTGGTCTCTGGAAGGTAGTCCAGAAGGGACTGTGGCCTCCATTCTCCCTTTCCTGAAGTCAGTTCTCATAGGCACCCTATGGCAAAGAGATGAGGGCTGGTTCTATCAAATATCAGGGTGGTTTTTTTTATAGTGTGTTTATGTGTGTTTTTGCTTAAGAAGGAAGCTGCATGGAAACTCAAAAGCCTGGTTTTGCAGCATGTCTTGTAAACCATTTAGAAGTAGATTAATGATTTGTGTATCTTTTCTTTTCAAATCTGCTGGGGTGGGGTGGGAGTGGTGGGGTGAGCAAAGCCCTTGGGACTGTTCCAGTCGCTTTAAGCCCTGACAAAGAATTCATGTGACTCTCAGAATGTTGAGGTACTTTTTTTTTTTGTCAACAAAATATTAAAAGCCACATTTGATACTGCTTTGCTGTGAGCAACGCTCCATGTTGCGTTTTCGCTTTGCTGTGGCTTGGGCCTGGCATTTTATGACAATATTGTGGCTTGCACATGCTGTTTTGCAACAAGACAGCCTCAGTTTTAAACCCTGGCATCTAGTGAGGTTTTTCTTTCCAGCTAGCAAAACCTCCATCCTTCTCTCTCCCCAGAGCCCCCATCCTAAGTATTGCTGGGTTCCCTTCTGGAAAGACTTTTTGGATCCCAGAATACCTTAATTCCACTTAGCCTGAATTCCAGACTAAGATCCACAGTCTAATCTGGGCTTCAGTGGAAACAGAACTTGGAATGGTCTCTGGGCCTGGTGTGCCAGGATTAAGAAAAAGTATCATGGCTGTGAATAGTGTAGATTCAATAATAAAATTTCCTTAATAAAACAAGTACAAAAGGCACCATAAATCAGTAGATCGGATTTATACATCAATATAGCTGGGTCCCTGCTTCTTGGGAGGAAAGCAATGACAAACCTAGACAGCATCTTAAAAAGCAGAGGCATCACCTTGCCAACAAAGGCCCGTATAGTTAAAGCTATGGTTTCCCCAGTAGTGATGTATGGAAGTGAGAGCTGGACCATAAAGAAGGCTGATCGCCGAAGAATTGATGCTTTTGAATTATGGTGCTGGAGGAGGCTCTTGAGAGTCCAATGGACTGCAAGAAGATCAAACCTCTCCATTCTGAAGGAAATCAGCCCTGAGTGCTCACTGGAAGGACAGATCCTGAAGCTGAGGCTCCAATACTTTGGCCACCTCATGAGAAGGTGGAAAGGACCCTGATGCTGGAGAGAAGGGGATGACAGAGGACTAGATGGTTGGACAGTGTTCTCGAAGTTAAGAACATGAGTTTGACCAAACTACAGGAGGCAGTGGAAGACAGGAGTGCCTGGTGTGCTCTGGTCCATGGGGTCACAAAGAGTCGGAGATGACTAAACGACTAAACAACAACAACAACAATAGCTGGGTCACCCTTCATGCAAAGGGTGAGTTTTAAGCAGGCACCACAATGCAAATACTGCAGGCACCTATCTGAAGTTCATTGGGAGCATATTCCACATGGCAGGTGCCATCACACTGAAGGCCCTGGTCTCAGTGGACATAAGGCAGACCTCAGGAACATATGACACTACAAGGAGTGTCTCCCACATGGATCAAAGTCAGGGGCATAAGAACATAAGAAGAGCCTTATGGGTCAGACTCATGCCCATCTAGTCCAGCATCCTTTTCTCACAGTGGCCAGCCAGATGCCCATGGGGAACCTGCAAGCAGGATCCAGGCACAAGAGCCCTCTCCCCTTCTGTGTTTTCCAGCAACTGGCATTTGGAAGCACTGCTGCCTCTGACGATGGAGGCAGAGAATAGCCAATGTGGCTAGTAGCCCTTGATAGTCTTCTCCTCCACAAATTTGCCTAATCCTTTTTTAAAGCTGTCAGGGGATTGCCATTGGAACAGGGGAGGGCGGCAGGGGGGCCGTTGGGATAGCTAGAGCCTCCAAAAATCCTGAGGAGCAGTTCCTCTTCCAGTGGTGGGGAAAGCCATACCTCCAGTGGAGAAGAGAGGGAAGGGACCAGCCGAGCGAGGAAAGGGCTCGAGGATGCTGTGGAGAGCACCAACACCTCACCCAGCCAGGCTGGCCAGG